ATTTAAAAAAAAGAAAAACTTGTAATATGCGGATATTTGTACAGAAAGAATTATTTAGTAAGTAATATTGAAGAAAACAGAACGCATCCGTTGTGAGTCTGAGCACTAGCGGATCCAGGATTTAATTTTTGAGGGAGGGGGGCTTCAGCCCGAAAGATTTTTTTTCATATATATATATATATATATATATATATATATATGGCGATAATTAATTTGAAAAAAAATAAAGAAATTAACTACCTATATGAAATGATGCTTAAGTGATTCTTGAAGTCCTATTAAATGTAATTACACGAACAAGAATACTTTAAGAGATAGTTTATCATATTTTTTCTGTAAAACCTAGTTATATTTTTCCACTTTTTTGGGAGGGGGGATTTTCGGGCTGAAGCCCCCCCCCTTCCTCCCGTAGATCCGCCTGTGGTCTCAGGATGTTTCAATTTCCTACTTTAATTCAGAGATAGATTGAATGTTTACACAACGTGAGTCATTTGATTCGATTACCTAAATTAATGCAGTACACTCTTCAAGGATATATATGTGGATGTATAGATAGGTATATATATTCATATATAAGTACGTATATATATATACGTATATAAATACGTATATATATGTATATATAAGTATAAATACGTGCACAATTCTAACAAATTAAAAAGGCTCCTCTCCATAATTAAATCTCCGACTATGCTATATGGGATGCTTTTCATTTCTATACCTTTTTATAATTATTCGTTACCAATTCTATGGAAAATGAAAAATTCCATTACAGTTTTACTTTCACTTACCTATATATGAAATATATAGTAAGGGACAGTATTGCGATCATGAAAATTTTTGAATCTGAGTTTTCAACAGAAATACATATTTTGAGGTCTCCTGAGTCCAAATTACCAAGTCTGGCAAAATTGTCTGTATGTATGTGACAGGTCTAGCTCAAAAACGAAAATTCGTATGAAAGTGAAATTGCATATTTAAGGTTTGTATATATCTGAGATATTACAGCAACTTTTTTTGTCAAAATCGACTAACCGGAAGTGCCACTTTATATCATCGGTGGAATACATTTTTACTATTTTCTCGAAACAGGTCTTACGATTTTGATTTAAAGGATATTCATTATATCAGTGTAAAATATAGCAGTTTTTAATATTAAGTAGGTTTTATTCTCTGTGATATTCTCTAATAGAGCTTAAATGGCTAATTTTCAATATTTTCTTCCTCTAAAGTACCTTTATTTTTTTTTAACAATTAACCATTTCACATTGATCTCTAATATAAAAAAAAAATAGTTAAATATAAAATATTAAAGAATTTGTTAATTAACTAAAGGAGAAACAAGAGATCGTAACAGAGAATAGTTGTAATGAAGAAACCAAACGGATACGAGAGCGACCGAGCTCACCCGAGCTGACCCGAAGATTAGAACAGGCTTCCATACGTAACGAGAGCTAAGTATAATACGGACTCCGACAATATTATATACATATACATAAGTGGTTTTCCTAAATGTTTTCGTCGGTATTATTTAATATTTAATTGTATAGATTACAGCGATATAAATAACAAAATTTGTGTATATAAGGATATTTGAACAAATAAAAATATTCACAATGAAATATAAATCAATATAGCGTTTATAATTTTTACTTTACTCACTTTTTACTTTCACTTCCCTTTCGTCTGAAAATACTTATTTCTGATAAGAAGAGATTGGTAAGTGAAAGTTGTGTGATGCGCGCACCGCACCAGATTTTTATTTTTAATGTAAGGTTCATTAACAATGTTACAATTGACTTTAAAAATAATAAGGATTTAATAGAATTTGGCAAAAATCTGAAATAATACATTACTTTAAAGAAATTTAGAAAATATTATCACCCACAAGTATATAAATATTTGGGAAAGTTTCTAAATTTATCAATGTAATTTGATTGAATCACCGATGGTTCGGCGGTTTGGAGTCCATGGATCCGTTGGATGAGACTTAATTGTTATATTTTAATTTACTTCACATAACTCGTATGTATGTACTTTCTATCAATATGGACAAGTTCCTAAACTTAGCGCTGATCTCATCGATGATACCTAATCGGTCTCTACAATGGACAAAATGACATCATTGATGAGATCACAGCTGAATTTAGCAACTTGCTCAATTTAGGTGGGCTTATAATTTAGAAGATGGGTATTTCTTTAAACATTTTTTTATAGAACCTATAGGTCATTCCAATACTGAGCATAAATCGCTGTACATCGTTACTGGATTTAATCGATTGATGGAATCCATCGATGTAATTAGCGCTATGTTCAGGAACGTAGTCTTGTTGTTAATAAGTAATATTATTATTTTATTTCATGAATTTCTAATTGATTAAACATTATGATTTGATGTACATACTCAGTAGCACCATGATCATTAATGTTGAGACTTTGTAAATAGCTTCTTCTCATTGTAACCTACAGATATTTTATTTACGAAACTTCTCGTAATTGGGGCATTTTCAATCTGAAGATTGGCACTTTGTCTATTTAATTAGGTACTAAAAACTCGTAAATTCCCATTTGCTTTCCACTTGGATTTGGATTTCATCGCAAAATCGAAAAAAAAAGGTGGCCTACAAAAATATTGGGCCGTTAGGTTTATATAACCTTGTTATTTTGACAATTTAGAAGTGCAGGTCACGACAAACGCCTGAACAATTTTGAATGCCACGTTTTTTCTCGACTTTGTGCTCAAATTATCTTACGATCAAATTGGAAAGCAAATGTCTATTTACGATTTCTTATTACCTAATTAAATATACAAAGTTTGCTGATCTCCAGATTGAAAACGCCCCAATTCCGAGAATTTTCTTAAATAAAATATTTGTAGGTTACGATGAGATGAAGCTGTTTACGAAGTTTCAGGTGGATGTTAATAATTTGATAAAAAGGGTTTTGTACCATGGACTAACACTCCTTTAAGAAATTTGAAGGAGTTAAAAAAAATTGATTTCAACGAATAGTTTGAGGTCAATATCGATATAAATGATACATTCACGGCTAAATATATATTTCGACGAAATTTAATATTGACCGTATAAGGGCTCTTAAAAACTGATAACATGAGATAAAAGAAGTTATGAAAAATCAGAAAACTTTTAAATTCGTATTCCTTTTAGCATGATTCGTTAAAAGATTAATATTTAGTTTATAATACGAATTAAGAGATAACACATAATTTCAAATTATGACCGTCAGAAATCAAAGCTTCAATCACCTGAAGTGGAGGGGGGGGGGGAGACTGAGGTACTGAGGTGAAGTTGGTTTTACGAATTATTTAATGAGGCAGTAAATTTTTTAAAAAAGTGGAAAACTACACAATTTTTTTAATCTAACTCAACAGATTTATTATTTTCACAATATTTTTCTTTAATCTTTTAAAATAATTGACATGTATTTTTCTAACTTTTGTCAAAACTATCCAGAGGCACTAGGAAGTAATAATTAAATCTCCATTTTTCTCTTGATGTCCAATGCTATTAAGGAAATCTGGAGCGCGCAACACACAACTTTCACTTACCGCTCAATTTTGAATATAAATTATTTTCTGGCCATGTTGGACTATTATAAAAATATTATAAGCTTTGGGGTTGAAGTCCCTCTTCCCCCAAATGGTAAAATATAACCATGTTTTATGGAAAAAAATATCTCTTAAAGTATTATTAAGGAAGGAGATGGTCCGGGGTGGCGGTCATAAATAGGCTAAATAGTGGTAAAACTATTTTTATTAAAATCCGGCGTTTCGACCAGACTTTGCAGGTCTTCTTCAGGGCTAGAACGGACAAGAAACAAAAATATAGAGAATTGTGGCAATTACATAATATTTAGACCAAATTTATAAACAATGTGAATAAGCTTATTGAAATTATAAACAGCAAGTACATTAAAATATGAACAAAGTAAGCTAAGTAACAAGATCCTAAACTGAAGTAAATAGATGTTAACAATTGTTGCAGTGTAATATATATTAAATGCAAATGTGAATATAAATATAATATGAATATGAATATGAATATAATATGTCTAAATGTTATGTAACTGCCACAATTCTCAATTTTTTGTATCTTGTCCGTTCTAGCCCTGAACAAGACCTGCAAAGTCGGGTCGAAACGTCGGCTTTTAATAAAAATAGTTTTACACTATTTAGCCTATTTATGACTGCCACCCCGGACCATCTCCTTCCTTTATAATGCAACGGTCAACTATTAAATATTCAATTAAAGTATTATTGTTCGTGTAATTACATTTAAAAGGACTTTAGAAATCATTTAAACACCATTTCATACAGGTATTTAGTTTCTTTCTGTTTTTTCTAAAGTAATTTATCGTTATTTTTTTTTTATGAAAAGAAAAAGCTTTCGGGCTGAGGCCCCCTCCAAAATTAAATCCTGGATCCGCTAGTGCATGACAATATTTCGGAATAAACAGACGTTGATACCTAATTATTAAAATATGGTATCAGATCTAGAATTACTAAACCACAGCAAATGTATTCAAGATTATAAACATATGCTTTATATATTAATGAAATGATTTTATTTTTTTTTTACTTTTTCTTTTCCACAAATGCAATGAAGTAGTTTTTCTAACAATGCCATTGCCTTGATTAGGTGGATTTTAAATACTTTTTTCAAACGTAAAAATATTTTAAAACTATACAATTAGTTAAAAATGGCCAAATAAGTTTGTTTAATAAAACATATTAAAATGACGTTAGTCTGATTGATACATGCAGGATTCATCATGATTGAAGCAATTCTTGTCAGTCTCGTGACTGTCATTCATGACTGATCGGGTTGTAAACATTCAGGTACGTTTGATGGAAGTGGAGGGGGTTCTGTTTAATGTGTAGCACACAGGTGGTGGTCCGGGCAGGTTGGTTTCAGGTGTTTTTTTGTGTTTTTGTTATGGGGAGGCGATGTTGGAATGTTATTCCCCTGAAAGTTTATTATAATTCCTCGATTATTCATAATCTTTACTCCTGACTGTGGATTCAATAATGATCTTGGTCATCAGATATTTTGGATATATAATAGGGTTTGTGTTTGGAATCTATATATTTGAAATACTGGTTGATCGAAACAGAGAAGGACCAACTTTCATTGCAGAAAAAAATACTGAAATATCCACTTGTGATAAGACTAACTACAATCTCTGGTTAAAAAACAAAGGATTCGTTGTGTCTAAAATCGATCAAGATGAGCTCTCTTTCGGCAAGAATAGGACAGAACTGCAGAAGACACTGGAATCTCAACTCTTGTATAATTTGGTTTATATTACATGTGTTGTTTTTGTTATGAAACCGGAAAGAGCTTACATGGTAGCAAATACCTGGGGGCGACGTTGTAATTCATTATTATTCTATTCGAACACAGTTACTAAACTCGACTACCTCGATATTCACATAATTCCGTTGAAAAGCTCATGGCAGTTTATGTGTGAATGTATTCGTCACTTGTGGCTCACTGAGAAACATCTTCAATGGGTAATATTTTCTTTTGATGATATTTATGTGGTCCCTGAAAATTTGAGGTATTTCTTAGCAATAAAAGATCACAACGATCCCTACTATTATGGACACAATGTTTATTTTTGGAATGTTTTGTATAATAGTGAAGAGACAGGTTTCGTTTTGAGTAAAGGGTCCATCCGTGCATTAGTTAATAAATTTAGTGATGTTTCCTCATGTGAAAAAAGTGAAAGATACAGGAAAAATGGAGACTTCTATTTAGGTAACCATACATCTGTTTATAACAATTTTTAGAGTTAACAACTTATTAACTTTGTTCAAATATATATTCTCAACTTAATTATATCTGGTAGTTTTTATTGTCATTATTATTATTTTGCGATATGTTAATTAATGTGATTTCTTTGATTTAACATGGAAACACAATTGTTGGACATAAACTTAAGTGGTGTATCCAAAACTAATGAGATTTGAAACATAAAGCTGTACTTTTTCTATTATTTACACTGAAATAGAAAACTAATGTGAAGTTACTGATATATTTTATCAAGGTTAAAATAATTTGTTTCTGTCTTATTAATTTCATAGTTCTTAATAGTTTTTAAATTGATTCATTAAAACTATTTTTACCTTTCTCAAGGTTATATTTCATAACAGTTACAATTTAATGCAACAATTAATATTTATTATTCTTGAGTACAAAAGAATGAAATCAACGCTGATACTTCATTATGTTAATTACAATCTTTTATTTTAGGTAAGTATTTGTCTGAATTGAACATCACAGCAAGTAATGCCCATGACGAAGAAGGCAGAGAACGGTTCCATATTTTGAAATTGGAGATTTTATTGGCTAGTGATTCCGAAAGGATAGTACAAAAGTATACAAAGAAAAGTTTGCGGCCTATTAAAGTGGTTAGTTTATTGATATTTCTAAAAAGTTATCTTGAGTGACTTTAAACAGTGTTAACATTTTATATATATATATGTTATTATTATGATGTGCACGGTGTCCCATAAGCAGAGGAAAATTGTCATAAGAGTGTTAACAGATCTCAAGTGCAGTGCTAGTAAGTTTCAGCGGAAAAGTAGGAAATTAAAGTTTGTTTTTTTAAGTAAGTAGTGTTTTTTGTTGAGTAGGAAGCTATAACTAAAGAAATATTTTATTTAAGTAATTAAAAATTGCTTCATTGTAAACTGTCATTGTTAAAACCGTTTAAATAGCGCTTTTGAGTGGCCTAACTAAGCCAAATTCTATTTTTAAAAAAGTCATAAAATATTTGCGATTTTTTTTTTATCATCATCGAACTACACTAGCAATATCACACTTTTAGAAAAACTTCCTCGTTTAGTAAGCTTTAAGTCCGTATTAATTAAGTTGAGGTTTATTTGGAAAAATCTTTACAGATTGTGTAAAAAAAATGATGTGATTTACCTTGTACCCATGTTTTAAAAAAAAATTATAACAATAAATTTTTGCAAAAGCTTTTATTTCTTGTTTTTTCATGTTTTGGGATGTAATGCGATAAATAGAATTGATTAAATGCACTTTTTATTTCTAAAAAAAAATTAAAATTAATGATTTTCAAATATTTTTTATGTAAAGTGGCTATGAACTGTGTTTTTCACCAGATCTACTAAGCAATCTAACTAAGCCAGATTGTTCCATATTTATAAGTAACTAACTAAAAGTTTCTGATCGAAGTATTTAGGTTTTAATGAAAATAATTGAAGCAATCAGCTGGTTTATTTATTATAAACGTAAATTTTAGGCTTAGAAACATTGATTTTGTCACTTATAAATACAAATCAAAAACAAAGTTTCATAACGACAACCTATAAATGAAAAATCAATAATTCCAAAATTTTTTTTTAGAAATAAAAAATGTATTTAGGCTGTATAAAAAATAAAAAATTATATTTATCATAATAAATCCCAAAAATTGGAATTATAAGAAATAAAAGCTTTTGCAACAATTCATTGTAGTAATTTTTGGTGAAAATGGGTACTTTTAGGCAATAGGATATGAAATCATATCATTTTTTTACAGAACTTTATGAGAATCTCAAGTTTTTCCGTTATAAACCTCAATTTAATTAATATGGATTTAAAGCTTATTAAATAGGGAAGTTTTCTTAAAAGTGGGATGTATGTAGTATAGTTGGAGGATAAAACGTATAAGAGAATAAAAAGTTAAAATGGACAAATTTTTCTTTTTTACATTATTTTAACTTTTTATTCTCTTATACGTAGTCAGTATGTTTTGATAGATTTTACAATATCTCAATTTTCTATTTATATCTATTATTTCCTTATATAACTTAATATTCCTATAATTTATCATATGTCTATTTTAGGCCAAAGGTCACCAAAAAAACACAGTTTTTTTATCTCCTGTATGCTTTATTCAACGTTTCGGCTTCAGGAGCCATTTTAAAGAACCTGCAAAACATGCACCGCACCATAAATTTTTTTGCGAAATGATTCGTCCTAATTCATTCTTTTATTTCAAAGAATGTCGTTTTCCGTTTCTCTATTTGCAGACGGTATCAAGAAATTATTGTTCTTCAATAGGGCATTCATACAGGACTGCATGTTTTGCAGGTTCTTGAAAATGGCTCCTGAAGCCGAAACGTTGAATAAATAAAAAAAACTGTGTTTTTTTTTTGTGACCTTTGGCCTAAAATAGACATATGATAAATTATGAGAAAATGGCACCAAACCCGAAGGATGTGACTAGGAAAAAAACAAAAAAAAAACTTAATATTCCTTTTCTCTGTTTTATATTTTATTCTATGATTGTCTCACTTCCTTTTAGTATACTATCACATCATATTTTAGCAACTATGTCACCCCATTTATTATTTTTTTTCTACACTTAATTTATTATCTTATACATTCCACTACTTTTTGTTGTTAATTCATTTTACATTTCTTATATTACCTTATTTTGATTATGTTTATTTCGTTAATCCCGAATTAGTTGTCATTACTATTTTTTTCTTAGTTCTTTTATTATTCTACCTACTTTATATTACTTTAATGTTCACTCTATCTACTTTATTTTACTTTAAGTTTATTCTACCTACATTTTTTTGTTTACACCTTTCACCTTTTTAATTTTAATTTTTTATTATTCAATGTTTATAATTTCTCATGCCTATTTTTAACTGTTTTTTTTTCTTAGCCATGATGGAGGCCTGAACCTTGGGTCGAAACGTCGGCAAAAATAAAAATAAATATAATTATTTATTTTTAGAATTTTTTTTACTGATCACTCCAACCATTCTTATCTTCAATTGGTCTAATTTACTGTGAAATAATTGTTAACTACTTAAATTAAATAGTTTTTAAGTTATCACTTCCTATTCAACCAAAAACGTGATCTGCTTAAGAAACCACTAAATTTTAATTTCCTACTTTTCTGCGATGTGAATAAACGTATAAAATTATTACATACAACCTTTTGAGCTAACATAAGTGATATTGAGATCAAGAATTTTATAATTAATGATTTTCTTTTTTTATAAATCATAGGATGATTGTTTTATTGTAAAATTATAAATAAGAAAATCGACAATATTTATTAGTAATAATTTGGAAATTTTTATTACTTACTTAGGGAAAGGACTGTTGCAGCGACTCTACGATTAGTTTTCCGACAAGTGGAAACAATCTATTGACTCATTATCTTATTTATCAAACCAAAGTCTTTCATAGCGGTAAACTTGGCAACAGATTTAAAAATGAAACTGACGATCCTCAGGTAAACATAAGTTTTTTTACATTTCAATATTTCTTTTCATGAGTATCTCTTAGAAATATTTTTTTGTACTGCTAGTTCTGAATCACTATTTCAAAATGATGGCTGATTTTAAGATCGAACTGAAACGGAAACCTGAAACCAACAGATTATGTCAAAATTTTTAAAACATAATTGTTTTTTTTTTCAGGCATGGAAGGAGACTGTTCGAGAAGAATTCGGGAATGAATTAAATGTTTCTTTAATTACTGAGGCTGAATATGAACGCTTATGGAAGGAGAAAGTAAAAATACTCGAAAAGAAGAAGCATTTCATTCGATAAGTTTTAGTTATAAGTTAACATCCAGCCCACGAGAGTATGAAAAACAGGCTCTCTAAAGTTACATCACATTTTTTAAATTTAATTCTTTGATTATATTATTAAGGATTTAATTTAATGACTGAAATATTCGTGATGAAAATTAGGCTATGAATTATAAAATATGTGAATATGTTATTGGTTTTGTATTGAATTTGATTGAAATCAGATTTTATTACCTGACATGTTAATTTTAAATTATTTTATACATTTTTTAAAAGTTATGTGATAAAACTTTTTAATTGATTACATCTTATTTATTTTTATTTTTTTGTTGAAAGCAATGAACTGTTAAAATTATAAATTAATATTCAGTTTGAATATTGTTCAAGAAATTCGAAACAACACAAAACATACCTACTTTGTTTTAGGTAATACTGTTGTAGTCGATGTCATTTTTTTTTTTTTATTGGTATAAGACTATAATTGTAATTATATCAAATTCGTAAAGAACATGAATATTGATGCTACTGCGGAAGCTCTAGCACTTATTTTACTTTTTATTATGTTATTTATCATTATATTTATTTCTGATTTATTTATTTGATTAAAATTAAAATTATTTCAATCTATCTCTACGAGATTTAAATTTATAGAGAATTTTTTATTCTTCCTTTGGTTTGAAATTAATGTTGATGACGATAATGGGATAGGTATATATAGAAGTATAGATTATAATTTAGGCTTCAATAGTCTCATTCAATAAAATAATTTATTATAAAATTATCCAAATTTATATAAAAATTCTCTTAGAAGACTTGATGTTAGACACTAGTCCACAAGTGTGGAACCTATCTATAATTAGAGAATGATAACACTAGTTGAGAAACTGCTCACAGATAGCACTCTAATACATTAGGAGATCAGTCTTGTAATTAATTAGAAGCTGAGAGCGTTCATTTTGTAAGTGCTGAAGTAGTCGGGAACGTTTCAGTCTTATATGTGGATTTCAAGTTAAACATTTGTCCAGGTGGAGGCCAAGATATTGGATTTGTTCAACAATGATAAGTGGGTTATTGTTAAAGGATACTGTTTGACAGGGAGTCAGGTTTACGACGAAAGGTAAAGGTAATTTCATGGAATTTATTGTAATCCTCCATTTTTTACACCATTCTTCAAGATTTGTGTGATTCAAGAGTTTGGGAAAGATTGGGTTGTTATTAACTGATAGGACACATGTCTCATCGGCATACTTGATGACGACAGTTTTAGTTTGGGTTGGAATGCCAGCTGTATAAAGGATAGGACCTAAGATAATACCTTGAGGAATACCTACAGAATGGGATAAGATGAATGAATATGCAGTATTATGATTTAATTTGAAGTATCTATCAGTAAGATAGGGGCAGAAAATAAGGAAGTATGCAAGGAGGTAGCAATTTTAGGATGTAAAAGCCTGTTCTACGTCGGGATAGAGTACTGTGAATTAATCCTAACGCTAGATCAATGAAGACAGTGCAAATATATTTTTGGACACTGCAGATGCTGCAGGTTCCCCATCTGTGCACTAGTCCATTGATTAATTCAATAAAATCATTCAAAAAGAATTATAATATAACATATATCAATATAATAGACAAAATTTATTTGCGTACAGCAGTGCCCAGCCTTGCACACCTATAGACATAGAATAGGATCACTCCTTACTAGGAAGAAGAGGAGTTACCAATATTAAAATGCAAAAATTTGGTAGTTTTATAAAAAATTATTTTATTGACTGGCACTACTGAGGTCTAAATTATGACCTATGAATTTAATGTCCAATTTCATCTGTTGCAAAGCTATTGAAGACCATTTCAAAAAAATAATAATTAAAATTAATAAACCCAAACGTATGATGTTAATGCTACAAAAGAGTTCTGCCTACTTAGATTCTAGAAAACAGTATTTTGCAGTCAGATTTTGCTATCGAAATAAAACGATCGGACAAAAATATCAATGTATTATTATAAAAATATAGATATTTCAATACATTGATATTTCTTCAGCGTACCTAACCTCTACATCAATTAGTTTGATGTAAATTTTACTAGCCACTGAATTTTCGAGTCTATTTCGGTTGCTGCCATACTGAAGTCCCATATCCTTACCTGCACCTATTCTTTATTTTCGTTTATTTATTTTTTAAATTATCTTTAGAAATTATTTACAAGTTATTATAATGAAAAAAAAATGTCTAGAGACAATAGAAATTTATCTTCCAGTATATAAATTTGTATTATATACAAATCATAATTAATATTCGTATAGGTATTTTTAATGTCCGAGATATAAATTTTTATTTAAATTAGATACAAAAATAAAAATAATAAATTTTTTGATTAATAATAATAGTTCTTTCTAGATTTTTTTATATTTACAAAAATTAAATAATAAAAAAACAAGAAGTTTCATTAAAGTAAACTAAAGGATGAAGTTGTTTAATATTTTTAATCTGTTATTTTTCATCGTGTTTTTTGTTTCTCTTCAGTAGGTATCAATTGTAATAATTATTTATTCACGAAATTTGTAGATGTTGATCTTCGGAATTGTAATACCCTCTAATTTATGCGGAAGGCTGAAATTTTTAGAAAGCGCTAGTTGCTTTTCTCCGAAGCCTTGCTTTATTTTCTAAATTATATGTAACATTAATAATGTAAGTACATATGTGATGAGATGGTGCACTCAATTGTGATGTTTTTAGTTTGAGAAATAAACATCTCTTAATTTGTGTATATGTCTATATATATACTAATACATGTAAACATATACAATCTCATATTTTCTCTCTTTCTAATTTAAACAATTTTAGAATCTCAGATTAAGTATTCTTATAATTCTTAGGAAAAGAAGTGCTAATATTTTGTTATTATATATTTATTTTAAAATTTATGTTAGTAAAAAAAAAATAGCATTAGGCGAGTTTGATGAAAATTATTTTAATATACTTAATTTATGTTAGAAATAAAAATCTATATTTTTCACTTTAAATAAAATCTTGATAGGTTAAAAAAATATTTATTTAAAAATCAGTTAATTAGTAGTAAATTATAGGATTTGTTTTTTTAATAATAGCCTAAAACCATTAATTATTTGTTTATAATAATATATACATGTTTTATTATATAAGATATTTTGAGAATTTTTTCTTTAAAATTTATTTCTTTAATTACATGCTTTGTTCATCCAGTGCGTGTTTTTCCTTTTCAATATTTTAAGGAATCCTTGTTAATGATATATTGTATTAATTACAATTTTTCCTCTATAAATTTTTGGTTTTATAATAGGATGAAGTACAGATGAAATATTAAAAGAGGAAAAACGCATGTATAGCCATTTTTAATATATAGAAGTGACAAAACATTATAAGGTTATAAAATTCATAGAATTATGTAATATATTACTTGTGTTGAAAAAAGTTTAATAATCAATACATTGTGTTATGTTGTCTAACATTGAAATGTATTCTTAAAGATTAACGAAGAATGCTCAAAAGATCAAGAATGCATGGACTGATATCAGTTTACTCCTCCTTTTTTGAAACTTGAAAGTTACAATTCAAAACTAATATACTTCCTAAGTTTTGTTACAGTTATATAACATCGCTGCTTACATTAAGGGATAAACAATGCCTTATGCTTTTTGAAATAAAGTATTGTCTAAAATATGTGGAGCTGTAGAATTAAATATTTATATTGGAAAAGAAAATGCCTTAATGGACTTAATAGAAACTTATGGTTCTATAAAATGGTTGTGTGAAGTAATTGTGCTTGTGAACCTCTAAAAGGTTATTTGATTAGAAGCTGTGCCGAGATAAGCTTCCAAGGAGTAAATTAAAGTGGAGGTAGGAGCATTGACATTGTCAGATATTGTAGGATTGGGTTCGGACTGCGATCAATGGTTGGAGGTATGTAGACGATTGATGGTGTCGGCATCAAACCTTTGTCTTTTATTACGTATTGGATGAACAAAGCATATCGCTGCTGTTAGTGCAAAAGGTTGTATGTAATTATTTTGCATGTGTCATCTCTTTGCTCTAAAGGTGACATTTTGTAGTCTGCCACCGCTATAAGTAGTCTGCTGAATAAGAAAATAATATATGAAATTATACTAATAAATCATTGAAATAATCTGTATTTATGCTCTTCTGTAAAAAAAGCCGTTTTTGACATATGACATTTTTGCACTTACAGTATCAATATATAATTAATAGTCCGTGGTACAGGCCCCTTTTTATCAAATAATTAATATCCACCTGAAACTTTGTAAATAGCTTCATCGCATCATAACCTATAATTATTTTATTTACAAAATTTTTCGTATTTGGGGCGTTTTCAATCTGAAAATTCGACAAACTTTGTCTATTAAATTAGGTACTAAAAAACTCATAAATATCCATTTGATTTCCACTTGGATCGTAAGATAATTTGATCACAAAATCGATAAAAATGGTGGCCTTCAAAAATATTGGGCTGTTTGGCTTATATAACCTCGTTATTTGACAATTTGCGGGTGTAGGTCACGCCAAACGGCTCGATATTTTTGAAGGCCACCGTTTTTCTCGACTTTGTGCTCAAGTTACCTTACGAAGTGGAAAGCAAATGGGTATTTACGAGGTTTTAGTACCTAATTAAATAGACAATATTAGCCGACCACGAGATTGAAAACGTTCCAATTCTGAGAATGTTCAAAAATAAAATATTTGTAAATTACAATGAGATGAAGCTATTTACGAAGTTTCATCTGGGTCTTAATAATTTGATAAAAAGAGATCTGTACCACGGACTATAAGGAAATAATTATTAAAGACGAAAATGTTCACTAAACACCTTTTATAATTAATTATTTTGACTTTTTTTCTTTTTCATATCTGAGACTTTTAAAAAAAAATTTTAGTGAATAGTATATATATATTTTTAAGGACATATATATGTTGTTTGTGTAAGTATTATTATATGTGCTTGATGTTTGATTGTCAGCTTGAAGCCTGTTGCTAACAATAAAATGTGATAAAAAAAAAAAAAATCACTATTAATATTGCTGTAGAATATATACTATATTCTAGCATATAGTATTGTGGGTAAGGCACTAGCCTTTTAACTCCCAGGTCCAAGTTCAAATCCATCTGCACTAGATAACTTTTTGACTCTATTTTATCGGCCATGGAACCACTCAGATATCAGGAGACCCATCTCTCGATTGACTTGAGAATTAAATCTGATGGTTGCGGATTGGTGCTGACCTCATCACCTCTTTTTTTAGGGAGAAGAAACTATATTTCCTTACAAAATACTGAACCCAAGACTCTTCATGGGTTGTGATAGTACAGATTTTTATTATTTATTTATGCATTTCATAAAATTATTACTTTCAAATATGTACAAAAAATAAAGTATTACTTTTAATAATTAATCGGCCATTGATTATTAAAGCAAACATAAGCCTAAGGTCATATTTTTCTTAATTTTTGTTTAGGAGAAAAGTTGGGCTTATGATGTTAATAATTGTATTATAAAACTTTAGGACTTAATATTTAATTGTTCATCTGGTATTTTATTAATATTGGTCTGTTTATGTTTCACTGCTTGTGGCAGTTGCTAATAAATTATTTATGTTATTGTCATAAGTTATAATATGAATTCTCAAATTACATTCAGTATTTTATCGTTAAATAAAGATTTAATTTGAGATTCAAATTCTGATTTAATGTGATATTGTATGGAAAGGTATTTTGATATTTAACAATAAATTAAAAGTTATTATTTTTGATATGAAATGTTATTCTATTGTACTTGTATATTTTAATAAATATAACTGCTGAAAACAATATTATTTATTATTTAGTTTAGAATCCTGTTATCGTATTCAGTATAAGCCAAAGATTTTTTGTTGAAGAGTCACTGATTGCATTTTAGTTCTTACTAATTTTTTGTTCAAATAATTAAGTGATTCAACAGGAATCGTGAAAAAAAAAAAAAAAAAAATGAAGACTACTTTTAAATTAAAATAAAATATACGTGGTAAATATTAAGGACGCAGTCATTATAAAGCTTTCATTATTGCCAAAGTTTCAACCCAAATATGTGGGTCATCATCAGGGCATGGTTCGAGCCACATGTTTGGGTTAAAACGTCGGCACTAATAAAATATTTTATAATGACTGTGTCCTGAATATTTACCACCCATGATATGTAGAACAGTTGACTAACTTCCTTCAATATCACAATATAAATTACTTTATTCTTCATTTATGTTATTTACTGAATTTAATAATGAAATGTAAAATATTTACAATCTTTCATCTGATACATAACATTCATGAATAATATACACTGACAGGCCGAAAATTCCACCCACTTGATTTTTTCATGTTTTCATCTAAAAATATTTCTGCGACTTGTAAAAAAAGTTGTATTTGTATAATACATGGTATTTGTAGACAATACTTAGTATTTATGGAACTTTATAATCTTTTTTACCTTTAATAATCAAAATGTGATTGGGTAAGAAAGATTAGAGAAAAAAAAATTGAAAGATGAACCATTATTATTCTAAAAGAAATTAATTATATCATCGTTTAGTAGCGCGTGTTTCCTCCTCTTGCCTTCACTACTTCTTGAAGACGCCTCGGCATACTTTCCACCAGTCGGAAAACGTCCCTTTGCTGGAGGATAGCCCATTCCTCCCGAAGAGCCCTTTCAAGATCCTACAGTGTATCAGAAAGTGTTGCATGCGCTCTTATTCGTCTTCCGAGGTTATCCCATAAATGCATTGTTAACCTTTTAGTGACAATGATTGGGAAGGGAGGAGTGGCCTCGAGGACGCCATTAGCTGACAGCTCTCTACGCCTCTGTGACGGAATACTTTCACTACCTTGACTCACCACTTTAATATTTTTATTTAGGGTATCATTCCAAACTTTTTTATTTTGTTTTTTTATCTAACTTTTAGGCAACTGATATAAAAGCCAGAGGATAGTTTAAAAATATAATTCATCGCTCAGCATCTCGTCTTTAAATAAAAGAGTACCGCGTGTAAATAATTAATGTTAAAAGTTAATTTTAAATATTCCTTTTGGTCGGAATTGCGTATAGCCTTCCGTTTTTATCAGGAAACTAGATTATTTACACTCGTGATTATTAAAACAAAACCCCGGCACTGGATATAGACTTTTTGAGAGTGTTTAACTGTCGTTGGGAATTCGGAAATCTAATACCTTTTGTGAAATTGAGTGACAAGAAACAATAAGAATATATATATGAAATGTGGGACTGAGTAAATATACTTTGAATGAATTGACTCAGCTGGTTTGTTATTCTTCAATTGACAGGCAAATAGGACAACTAAATAAATAAATGACTTTTCACTCCTGTCTAACAAAATTATTTATATTACAACTGTAATAAGTGAATTTATTGTAGTCTTATAACTTTAGGCTTGATCATCTTAATCTTCAGTGCAGTGCCTCTCTCTTCTGACAATCTACTTCCTTTCTTCCTGTCTAGGCCTAGAGTCCTCTCGCCTCCATGTCCCAGTCTCAAGTCTTCTTCTCTCCCTGATGTCCTTCTCCAGCTGTTACAACCTGCTCCGTCCCTTCGGTACCTCCAACCTTCTTTGTCGATTGTTTATTGATATGAGACTTTTCAATGAATAATTTGTCAACTACACAATTGAGTACAATTCTCAGTGCAACCTCACACTCCTATATATTCCTTCTCATTCCCTCACATAAAGGAGTAAATACTGGGGATTGTCTACTACACACCGTTCGATTCCTTCTCAACTTATATATGAGTCCACTGTTACCTGGGCCCGGTTTCATTAAAGGGTTAAATTATTGTGACATTAGAAGTTATATTCAATAAAGCATTTTTTTTTTTACCAAGATAAATAAAAGGTTAAGTAATTGTAATAAAAACTGTGAACAAAAACAACAATATTTAGTAAAAACAATTTAATTATTAAAAAATTAATTTACATGAGCAATTTTTCAAGAACTTGCACCATCAATCACATTTTACATAAGTACAGGCTCCATCTCGATAATTGGTATAAGTACCCTAACAAATGATTAAAAAATAATTAAATTAATATAATGTATTCGATTAACATAAGTAAGTATATCACACTGGAGATCGTTACAGTACATAATTCATCGATAAATCAACACAATATTAAGTCAAAAGTTATCCTAAAATAAATTAAGCACTGTTTGCAATAACAAATTACACTAAGTACATATTAGTTACATATTTAAACGCCATCTTGATGGTTCGAATTGGACAATAAACTGAACCAAACTTGTACTGCTATAAATTCGTAAATATAGAAATTTGTAAATAGACTATAATTTGTTTACATTAAATTAAAACTGGATATCGTCGAACGTAAATCAGCGGCTTTGGCTAAGTTCTATATAATAGAAACAATAAATATACAATGATTCCCTAATAATCTTCAGTTAGAGATGAAACATATCCCTGATGACACCGACACAGTTTACTTCTGAGGACACAATCTTCGAAGGACGACCAAGATGGTCCTGGTTTCTTCAGGCCTTCGAAAGGGAACCGCTTCTTTGCCTCTTGGCTAACATCATAACATTGGTTTCCACCAGGCAAACCCTGAAATCAATTACAAAATATTGAAATACAACAAAATACCTAACAGATTTTTACTTTCACTTACGTATATATGTAATATATAGTAAGGGTAAGCATTGCGATCGAGAAAATTTTTTAATCTGAGTTTTCAATGGAAATTTTTTTCCGTTTTACAGATTTTTTCTCTAGTGAATAACACAAGGAAATAGCTAAAATAAATACTAAAATATGATGGAGTATTTATTATAATTAAACTATATTTAATATAATTGCTCAAAATAACAAAACTCATTTCATTCACAAACTTATTTTATATTAAAAAAAATATATACTTCAGTTATTAATAGCCAAACTCTGGAAGATGATTCTAGACAAAGTTTCATTTAATGAATGGACCGATTTAAGATTAATATTTGAAGGAAATTTTGTCTAGTTTACTATGAAACAATTTTTAATTATCTAAATAAATAATTTATATGTTATGGTTTCCTACGAATGATAAAACGTGACCACTTTAAGAAAAGACAAAATTGGACTATAATAAAATGAGACTGTATATTACATAATTTAATGTAAAAATATTTTTAAAAATAAGTGAAGTATTAAAACAATTAAATAACTAGAAAAAATATAATTTAAATCAAAGAGACTTAACCTCAGTCTGTAACAGTTCTGAGGCACTCTACATTCCTCTTACATTATTTTGTGCAAATCCTTTTAAATATATTCAACTAACAGTACTTATAATAATGTAATGTTATGACATAATTTACTTACTTGACGAAAATCGTAAGTAAAGCCGTTGATGTGGCGAATATTAGGAAAGAATAAGGGCCGATGGCTGATTGTACGACAGGGAAGAAGAAGCCGACTGTTAAATTGCCGAGCCAATTAGAGGCTGTTCCGAGAGCCATGGCTATGGGTCGTGGGCCGACGTCGAACAACTCTGAAAAAAATAAAATAAACATTAATCAATAAAATCATCAATTTGGACAGGGTGAAGAGGAATAAGTGCAACCATGGGACAAGTGTGGCCGTAGCTGGTTTTTATACTGAAAAATTATTATTTTTTAAAATTTATAATTTCGAGGAAAATTGCTTTATTTAACTCTTACACCTCTACTCCATGCTTCAATTCATTTTATTTTCTCGACGACGTGTCAGGCATTTTTGCCCCTTTTCAAGTCGAAATATTTAGATCATTATTATATATTCCATATAATTATATTGTTTACATAATTATTGTAACACCTCCTCACATTCTTCTAATTATAAAACTCATAACTTACTTATGAAAAGTCAATTCTAAAAAATATTCTATAAATTACCTGTGGAACGTCAAAAAATTAACATTATTTAAATTTAGAGTGGAGGACATAAGGCTTTTTAAAAGGACGAAAATGTGTAACATTTGATGTAAATTTAAAATACAGTGTAAATTTACTGTGGGCTGCACTTGCCACACAGTAAATCTTTCTCAGTTTAGCTAAATATAATTTAAAAAATAATTCAAAAATCTGATTTTTAAATTTTACCTATTTTTCTTATCACTCCCTCGTTGGCTAATGAAAAAGTTTGTATCTCCTAAACGGTTTAACATAAAAAAAAATATATATATGTATTGACAGAATCAGTGAAAACAAGCTATAACACATTTGATCCACCGTCATTTATATTGCCTCTTATGGAGGATCCTAGAGTGAGGTTGCAATTATTTCGTACACTCGCACAACTTTCCTACCTATTTCAGAAAAGTTTTTATATCTTAACATATGTCCATCAAGAAACAAAAACAAATTGAATTAGATTTATTTTCCTGAAAACTGATCAAAGAAAAGATTTGAGTACGATTTATTCGATAAACTAAAGCAATGTAAACCGGCTTAAGGTAGATCAGTTTGAAAATTTCAATATCCTCTAATATTTGCTGATCAAAAATGTGTTTTTCGAACTCAGGGAGGCTTTGAAACGTATAGATCCATAAAAAAACCGCATATCAGAAATTTGACCCGATTGCAATACTTTCCTTACCTAGTATATGTAGGAAAGTAAAACTAAACCTGGTAGCACTTACTTCACTTCACCTTATAATATTTTTGTAAGTTATGTCCACAATTATACAAATGTATAAACACAATAAAATATAACTTTATTTAAAATGTTCAAAATTAAATTCAAACTAACTGACCTGTTCCAATGAAGTATGGAATTGGACCGAGTCCAAAGCCATAAGTCAAGACGTATCCTAAGACTCCTACGACGGACAAATAAGGCATCCAAGTGAAAGTGTGCTGCAACATGAAATACAAGTTTACTGAATATTATATTATTATAATTGTATCAAAATAATGTAATAACATAATGTCTATTATAATCTAGGCTTTGACCCTGATGTCAATCTTATTAAATTACAAATTAATAAACAGCATTGAAAGATTATTTAAAAAAAAAAAAAAAATCTGACAACAGAAATTGGGAAATTCTATTCACTTTAGGGGAGGGGTTCCTAACCTACTACTAAACCAAGTTTAAATTTCCGTAGTAGTAAATTTCCCAATTTCTGTAGTTAGGGATTGATTTAACACACTATACACAGTAATTTGACAGAATTTTGATCTCAAATTATTTCAAAAATACTGATTGGGCTAGTGCATTTTATGAGCTCTTTTAGACCTAAAAAACTGAATTTAATATATTTACAATAAACTATTCAGCTAATTATGTCTTACATACAATATATAAAATAACAATGTTGATAATAAAGAAACAAAACATACCATGAACCGAATTGAGAAGGAGAGGAACACAAGAAAAGCAGTCGCCAGGGTGCAGCTAGTAATGGTGACGAAACGGCGAGAGAATAAATTTATCGACGGAATCATTATGAAAGCCATAGACAAGTTGATGACTCCGGCTGCCAAGTTGCCCAGTTGAGCATTCTTCTCACTAAGGCCAGCTGAACGGAAGATAGTGACTGAATAGTAAAATACCTGTGTGATAGAGACAAAGCATTATAAATAGTTCATTATTATTACATTGTTAATTAATGCAATAGTTTAATTATCCTATATATTATTTTTAATTTTCCTATATATTATTTTTTTGTCGATACTTCTCGGTGTTCTTCTTATCGGTACTCAATTGACTTCATCAAATCCAATGATTGAACACTCATTTTGAAGATATTCTTCTCTTTCACATGTGAAAAATAGTCCTATCCTCCCAAAATTTCTGGGAAAAAAGTATGCATTTGTTTCTCGATTGTACCCATGATAATTAGAAAGATTACTAAATTATCTACTAAAAAAAAAAAATCGGACAATTGTTAACAAAGATACAGTCCATTAGTTTTGATATACTTAATAATGTCTTCCTGTTTAAAGATATTGCATTTAGGAATAGAATAGTCTACTACATTTTTTTGCTGGCTGATATGTTAACTTTATTATTTCTTAAAGACATTTGGTTATTCTTAATTTTTTTTTTTTTTAATAATTTAGAATATCCTATGATTGGGGCATTATTTTGTCTATATTAGGTTTATCATCTTTCCAGTCAGTGTTTAAAAACAAGGTCCTAGCAAAGCAATTTGTACAAATATTTTGGTCTATTATGTTTAATGGAATATTGTTATTGACCAAGGAAGAAAATATTAATTTCTTTCTTACATAATATATAGGAACTACTTATTTCGACATTGTTTTGCTATTTCTTCACTAAAAAAAATTGTCTGCGCATTTTTCGCACAGGCCAACTAGTAGGTAAGTATATTATTAATCATTCAAATATGAAGTTATTATTTACATAAAAGTAATGATGATCTCAATAAAAAAGAAATCGAATACAAATAGTCTATGGTACAGAATACTTCTTATCAAATTATTGACTCTCCTCTAAAACTTCGTGAATGGATTTATTTCTTCATAACTTAAAAATTTTTATTTAAGAAAATTCTCATGAATGGAGCTCCTTTTTCAGTATGGAGATTGGTAAGCATTATTAATTTAATGATATATTAAAAATTCATGAACAATCATTTGCTCTTTCTGCTTGAATCTTAGTGCCTTACAAAAATATTAGATCATTTTGTGTGACTTCGATCCCCATCATGTCAAAATAACGAGGTTATACAGCTCAAATGGCCCAATATTTCTGGAAGCTACATTGTTTCTTAATTTCGTGATCAAATTATCTTACAATTCAAGTGGAAAGAAAATTTGTGTTGGTGAGACTTTAGAAACTCATTAAATTAACAAAGTATATCAATCTCCAGATTGAAAACGTCCCATTTCCAAGAATTTTGGTTGGGCTCTTCGCTCAAAAGAGAATAATAGATAAATATGCTATTAAACGAATAAGAGCAACAATAATACTTACTGCATTGATACCAGAAAATTGCTGGCCGAAATGAAGAGCGCAAACGAGAGCTAAGTTTATCCAAAGACCTCTGGTCCTCATTATCCTACCCAAAGTCCAAACATCGTCCTCAACCGAGTCGACTTTTTCTTCGAGTTCACAACATACAAATTCTTCAGGAAGGTTGCGCAGCCTTGATAATTCTTAAAAACAAAAACAAATAAAATAGAAAATAAAGGTGAATGAAATGAAATGAAAAAAATATTTTATTATTCTGGGACTGTTGTCCCTTTAGAACAAATTATAAATACAGATTGTATTTCTGTGTGGTTACAATTAGATTATAAATTTACAATAAGAGTTGACTAAAAATAAAAATACTGAAGATGAGAAAGAAAAGAACAAGAAAATAGTACATATATATGAGAAACTAAAATAACCTAAATAAATTGAGGTAGTCTCTCGGGGATGCTTAGATATTTCTCTTAAATATATTTTGCAATCGGTCGGGTTGAGAAAGGAGTAGGTTCTTAAAGAGGAGAGGTCTGAAAGAGGAAACTGATTGAGCTTGTCGAATATCAGTAGAGGTGGAATTCCAGAGGGAGGCGGCTTGAATTGCAAAGGATTTGTCAAATGCAGCAGTTCGGTGAGGAGGAGGATAGAGGTCAGAAGTACGAGATCTAGTGGGACAGGATTGGATGGAGTATTTGAATTGTAAGCTGTGAAAAATACAGGAGGGTCGCTGAGTTCTAATGATTTGGTACAGAAAGGAGGCTAGGAAGTACTGACGGCGATAGGAATAATCAACAATAATAAATATTTTACAATAGTTGAGAGATGAACTGATGGATGATGTTTCCAATATAAGAGCCGATTGAGTTAATTAAAAATATATAAAAACTTTAATATATAAAGACTAATTAAAAAAAAAAAGGTAAGGAAGTATTGAATTCATGCAGTACGTTAAAACAATTTGCTCTTTTTTATATTTTAGACATCAAAGAACAAATTTAGTTCAGTGTCTGTCTATAGTTAAAATCAACTTCAGGTTCGATTTGGCTCAAAAGTGTTGGGAGTCATTGATTGGCGGTCTAATGATCAAATAGGTATCAATCGTATCTAGTAATTAAAAAAAATATTCAAGTAGATATCTCGTCTTTGCTTAGCCCTGACAAAGGCATAAAACTTGGGCCAAAATGTTAGCACAAAGAAAAAAATTTTTTAAAGGAAGGAGATGGTCCGGAGTGGCGGTCATAAATAGGCTAAATAGTGGTAAAACTATTTTATTAAAAGCCAACGTTTTGACCCGACTCTAAAGGTCTTCTTCAGGGAGGTGTGTTCATCAAGGAGTTTCACTTAGAACTGTGAAACTCTAATAGTAATTCTAAGTGAAACTACTAGCTGAACACACCTCCCTGAAGAAGACCTGCAAAGTCAGGTCGAAACGTTGGCTTTCAATAAAATAGTTTAACCACTATTTTAGCCTATTTATGACCGCCATCCCGGACCATCTCCTTCCTTTATAATGCAACGGTCAACTATTAAATATCAAAATTTTTTTTTTTATATGCTTCACTTAAAATTTCTCATCAGACTTTTTCTTTATAAATTTGAAAACAACAACAATTCTAAAATGGTAGTAATTTTTTTTTATTCTAAGGCTTGATCACAACATTTTAAATAGATTGTGATGCTACTATTCATGACCTAATTTAAATATATTTGATTTTTTTTTTACCTCTTAAAGCTCGTTGTCTCGAACCCTTGATGACGTACAAGTATTTTGGACTTTCGGGAAGCCAAGGGAATGCAGCGGAACCAACGACGACAAGGACGCCAAAAAATCCGAGAAGATAAGGCCATATCACTTCAGTTCCTATAGAAAAAAATTATACAACATATCTTTTTGAAGTCGGTTACATATTAAAAAGAGAAATCTGAAAAATAAACATTCATAGAAATAGAGACACAAACAGCAATTTGCTGTTGATATTTTATCGACTTCAAACATCAATAAATCATAAATAGTTGAAGAAACATTAATATTAAAGCATCAGACAAATGTTTTAATATAGTTCTTAATGTTTGTTGGTTTATTTTTAATTGTTATATTAACGGGTAAATATTCATTGGAATAGTTGTAGCTCAAATAAAAAGCAATTTTATTTCACCATTGTTTTCAACTTTTTTTTTTAAGATTCTTCAACTGTAAATTATACTGAAAACTTGAAACACTTTACAAGACAAAAATACAATCTGAAATAGTCATAATAGACTAAATCATGTACGGGAATATCAGGTAGTGATTTTCACAATAGTTTTATCCGCGAGGATATCATTTGTTTAATCAATAATTAATACTATTCGAAAAAATACAGAAAGCAGGGCTCCTACAGTAGTATTGTGATATTGTCTGAATGTTTTAAAATTTGAGTTTGATTCTTATCTTCTGTCTGCGTTGATGAATATTTTAACCTAAATCCAAGAAAATGTAAAAATCTAAAATAATAAGAAGACAAAAAGGGCAAATACTATTTAAGGCATTATAACTATGTTCATTATTACATTTCTTTGAGCAACATATTACATTAGGGATATTTATACAGCTGTGATAAGTGCTTTATGTCTAATCATGCTAAGCAGTCAGCACAAACTTTAAATGAATGACAAATGACTCTTACGTTCTAATCAGCTGAAGTGTTATTAGTTATAGTAAGGTTACGATTGTATTATTAACAGAATTTGTGAATTCTCCTGCTTGATTGATCTAATAACGTTCTGATTTAATTTTAAAATGCCCGAGGTGAAGTAAAAAGGCAGAGTTGTTGAATTATTTTATTAAAAATGCTTTAATAGAAAGCATGAATTAAGATTCAGAAGGGATAGAACTTGATGAAAACATAAATGAAATCCTAGCTGTTAAATCAATGAGATATAGTATAGATTTTATTCCTGGATCAGTGAAAAATTCTTCTCATTGATACCAAGGTTCAGTGCTATTTAGGAAAAACACTGTTTCTTGGTCTACGGTTGTGCAAGGAGGTGATTTGAGCGAGATCACGCTCAACTGCCAGATTTTTTCCCTTAATTAAGGGTACCCAATTTATAGAGGCTGGGTGTGTCCCAGGAGGGTCTACCTATCAAAGGTCGTCTCACGGCCAATAAAACAGAATAAATAATTTTTCTGCCATGAGCCAGGATTCGAACCTGGGATCTTTAACTCAGTACCCTACCACTGAACTACGCCACTCCCAGTTTAATCTTATATGAAATGAAATTTAAGACCATCTTGTCTTATCACCAAGACAGCACCCAATTTTTGTCCAATTATTTGTGGTATTGTATAGACTTCTTTAGGTAGACTGATATTGTATAAAGAATTAACCACAAAATCGAAAACTCATTTTTTACCTTTCTCGTGTATTTACGAAATTAGCACCACTTTACAGAACCCCAAATTGTGTTAAATTTGAATGTGCTACTTAACACACATTTCTTAAATAACTTTTTTGACTTAAACACATATAAGAGATTTACAATACTTAGCACTGGTTGCATGAGTTCCCCTAATATCGCTAACAGCAGTCCAAAATCATCATTTGGTTTGTTTCACCTGAACCACGGTAGTACAATAGGATGTTACTAATTTTTAATTTTAAAAAACAACACATTTGAAGAAAACAAAACAGCATGCCTTAATCATCCAAGATGAAATTTACTGCAATACAACTAAAAAAATAAAGGCTATATTTTTAAGAAGAGCTAAACATCTTAATTCATATCACTTCAGGTAAGGACAGGAACGCTTATCAACAAAGGTTATATTCTGTGAACAACAGAAAGCTGAAACATTGTTATGGTTTTAAAAACAAACTACAAATAAAAACTTAACTTCTTCAAAACAAAACACCTAGTTAATTTATTGATTAAAAAAAACAACAAACGTTATATAACATCAAAATGGTTACGGTTTAGTTATATTACTTTCAAACAGGAGACACAATAGCGACACAGTTGATGGTGTAAAAAATTATATCGAAAATATTTTGTGGGGAAATAACATTATGTGCGTATGTTGTTTAAAAAATACAATTCAATATATCATTCTGAATATTAAACAATATTTTTGTTGATAACACTTACCATTATTATAAAAACGATCCGACGAATGAGCTATCAGCTATCGACTTCAATTTGAACATCTTGGCTTCTTATCTTTTATGCCAAAATCTTGACCAATTTCTTTAACAAAAAAACTCTAGTCAAAGATATTATATTTATTGTCAATACATGCCCCACTAAAAAGTCAACTGTGTCACTTAAGTTATGCCTGAGATTACTTTAATATATTTTAGTTACATACGTAACATATTACGATATGTTTAAATACAAACATATTTTTAAAAAAAGTAAATCTTTTTAAACATATTTATTTAAATAGTTTGACCATGTCTCCAATTTGAAAGGGTTAAATGTAAAAAATACAATAAAAAATTAACGTAGACACACACAGTACAATATTCAACATAAAAACAAAAAAAAATACATCTTTAAAGACAAAACATTCAGCATCATACATAATACTCCAGTATCAAGTACATAGAGGCCAAAACAAGAGACAAATCACCACATCTTTTGGACGAGTAATCATGATTAATAAAAAGACAACTAACAATAAAAATAACTTCTATAATTTCGGAATGTTATGTTACATTATTGTATGATTTTTTTGTTAATTGCATTACATATTTGTTTCATATGATCTCTGAGATTTAGAATACATCAGCAAAGACATTATATCATATATCACCGGATACTAATTATCAGTTAATTGGAACCCAAAATTTCTTCCTTAGAAATAAATTACAAACTATTTGAAGAAAGGAAATTTCTTCCAATAACGTTTAGGTTGTGTCATGCACAGTATGCCAAATTAATTAATATCAAAATAAAATTTTAATGTTTCTGAATGAAAATAATAGCAATCCTCTGTACTTTTTCAGTTTATTAACAATAAAGACAGTATTTCAATTAAAACCATAATGATTAAATTTATGAAACAAATGAATATTTAAAACAAAAAAGATCAAATTTAAATTTTCTAAATAGAAATCCGTACATATATTATTACAGTAAGGCTCGAAATCGGTTTTGTACCAAATATAAGCTCCTGTCATGCTCAAATACCATGAATGGGGTACCGTTGGATTCAGAATTTCACAGGGTGTTAGCGAATCAAAGTCTCCACTTTTGTTTTTTTTTTCTAAAATAAATAAAGTGGATACAAATATTTTGCTAGGCTTCAATACTGGAACGGTGTTAAGTCTGTAGATCGATACGGGACAAATAGGATCTTGAAGATTTTGATGCGTACAGCAAGACCCTGATAGTTCCTCCGGAACTATCGGATCCTGCCATTTTAAGCCCAAAAACATACTATTTTAAAGATAACGCATGGCATAGGGTTCACCTCGACACAACCTTACATTAATTGTAGTATTGTCATCGAATACATGTCCCATTTCGTCGACTTGAGGTCTCTATGATCGAGAGAGGAGTTTATTTTATTTATCGATGGTGTTTTTGATCGGCAAGCCATATCATCGTTAATTCTTCACCAAATCTGAAGATTGAGCCACCAATTTCGGAGGCTTCCTTCTCCTTCAGGCGGGATAAACAGTCCAATCACCCCGAAAATTTAGGCAAACAAGTTATGAAAGAAAACAAACTTTATTTGCGAATAACTAAAAAAATACACACTTTTCCCTTGGTTATGCCCATGATTACTAAATTTTTATACTTTTATACCCATCAATTGTATAAAAGATTACTAAATTCCCAAACAAATGAAAAAAAAAAATCATCGAAATCAGACAATTTTTAGCAAAGATACAGCTTACTGAAATTTGTAAACATGTTGGTTCCAAACAAAAATGAAGATTTAAATTAATTTTTGTTTTCTTATATTTATCGATAAAGTAACATTTGATTTCTTTATCTTTTGATAAGGCATTATTTTATTTTATTATTAATATGGCATTTGATAACAATATGCTGTGTGAATTTTTCGCACAGGCCTACTAGTTAATAAATAAAATGATGAAGATTAAAAAAAAAATTATGAACAAAATCGGTAAATTTATATTTATTTTTATTGAACGATATGAAATAGAAAAGTTAAAAAACGTATTTTAACAATCTATCAAAGCATGTAGCCGTATAATTGTTTCATAAATAAATGAATAAGGTTGTATATATTGATTAAGGGTAAAAATCAAAATGTCTAAAACGTAATAATAATAATTATAAGTACCATTATAAGTAGCTGTTATAAAAAGCACTCGGCTATTTTTGGCATTCCACATACAGTAATCTAATCGATATTTTGGGCTACTATCCAGGTACAATTGTGAAATAAAAGTAATATAACAAAATGATTAAAAAAGTTCTCCAATTGATAACATACATCAAAATTAAACAATAAGATACAACCAAATCATACAATTCATGACGTTAATAAAGTTATATATACCGATAGCTTAATTCTAAAATCTTGATAGTCCAACTTTCAATGTAAGTTTTAGAGGTTGACCATCAATATAGAAAATAATTTGGACCAAAACAAAATAAATAATAAGTGAATGAAATCATAGAAAGCTTTTTTTTTTTTTAAATTAATTACACAGACGTTAGAACATTTAAAAAACAATTGAAAATGAACTTTGTTATAGTCGATTAGCTAAAATAATACTCACATTTGACAATAGGACCTCTTATAAAAAAATTTTAAATAAATAATATCACTTACATCAATATTCCCGACAAGATGATATTCAAATAATAAAATTCAAGCTCTAGAATGGAGTACACTTGCATGAATTTTCTATTTTTAGCCGACTAAGTGAAGCGACACAAGGTTATGTGTTTGGCCTATTTGCTAAAAACTATGTAACAGTTTTATAAGAGAACGGCAGGATCGATTTATAAGTTTTACAGCTCAAATTTTTCAGTGAGATCACCTGAGTGTTTTGAAACAATTTGAGCTAAAAACACTGTCCCGTGATTGAATAAAATGTGTTTAATCAATTCGCAAAAAGGTTAAAACTTTTGTCAGATTATGGTTATCATGCATAATATTGGAAGCCTGGTAACATGCAATAATAAAATAGAGACTGAAATAACCGCCAGGAAAGCAGCAGGAAATAGATGCTATTTCTCACTGCTAAGAGACTTGAAATTCAGATCACTATTTAAAAGAATCAAAATTCTCATTTATGTATGAGTGTGAGACTTGGACCTTAGCCAAAAACTCAGAATTCATGCTCAACCCCTGGGAGAGGAAAGTATTGTGAAGAATATGGGATGGAATCTTTGAGAATGGAGTTTGGAGAAGAAGAAAGAATGAGGAGCTGCGGGAACTCTGGTGAACCTGATACTGTGGCATTGATAAAAAGAGCCAGAATCAGATGGTTAGGTCATGTGGAAAGAATGGCAAAGAAGGTGCTGCATGAGAAGCCGGATGACAAAAGAAGTAGAAGGGGCTCTCGGATCAGATGACTGGAGGATGTGGAAGACGTTCTGAGGCGACTCAGTGTTCAAAGATGGAGGGAAGTAGCACAAGACCGTGGAGATTGGTCGGCTGTCGTGGAGGAGGCCCGGGTACTTGGAGGACTGTAGCGCGATTATAATAATAATAATGGTTATCATAGACTTTTCCTTATTACTTTGTTCATATTACAATTATATTTAACATTGGAAACCCAGAGATCATGAAAGCCTTGGAAGAATCAGACAGAAATGCAATACAAAGAATGGAATAAAATAGGAAAAATAAAATAGAGAACTTAGCAAAAGGAAAAGAATAATAATAATAATAAAAGGCTTGGCGAACCCGAAGGTTCGATACTGACACCACCAATCGCTTATTACACACCTACCTCCACCGTTCGCCGTCCAAACCCAGTCCCTTCAGATCGGCTTTAATGCAATCTTCCCACCTTCGCTTCGGTCTACCCCTCGGCCGCTTACCATTCGGCACAGCAAATATTAACCTTTTAGGGATTCTCTCGTTACTAAGCCCAACAATTTTACAAGCCCATTTGATTCGTCACGATGAAATTACCTCAATTATATTACCCGGATACAGTTTACACAATTCAGCATTGTGTAACCGTCTGAACTCCCCGGTTAACTCATCCTTCTTCGGTCCGAATATTCTACACAATACTTTATTTTCAAAAACCTTAAGATGCTGCTCATTCCTTAATGTAAGCGGCCAAGTTTCGGATCCATAAAGAACTGTAGGTAAGGTAATGGTTTTATAGATTCTAATTTTTAAGTTTCGAGATAAGAGGCGCATGCTAAGTAGTTTTGTCACAAAAAAATAACAAGCATTTCCTGCCTTCAGTCTAACCTTAATCTCTTCTTCGATTTCATTTTTCCTAGTTATCGTAGAACCTAGATTTCTCTACCAGTTCAAAAATATTACCATCTATATCAATATCACCAGTAGTATCGCCATTTTTGCAGCTAACCATATATTTTGTTTTGTCCGCGTTTATTTCAAGCCCTAGTTCTTTACTGGTTTTCATTAACGTTGTCGCATTTAGTTTTATAGTTTCCATGTCTTGGCTTAACAGTACCAAATCATCAGCATAGCCCAGCACGAGTGTTATCCCACCCAGATCCAACCCTTTTTTGCTATGCATTACCTCCCTAATGGCATGCTCTAATGCCAAATTGAACAGGCGAAGGGAATCGCCCTGTTTTAAACCCGAACGAACCTCAAATTTTTCGGACAGATTATTACCAATTCTAACTTTATTGAGTGTTTCTGTCGAGCACATCCTGATTAGATTTACTAGTTTTTTTGGAATCCCCTGCTCGATTAGAATATTATACACTTTCTGGCGGTCAATAGGATCAATAGAAAACTTGGTAAAGTGCCCGATTCTCTCGACTTTAAGGTATTCTTAGAAAATAGAGGTCAGCACTGTGTTTCACTGATCTTCTCACAAATGTCAGATACTAGGAATTTTAGACTGATAAATTTAAAAAAAAAAAAAAAAAAAACCTATAACAGGATTGTCACAAATACTCACCTAAGAAATTCGGCAGCCCCAAAATTTGAGCTAAAAGAACACCACTTGATATACCCATTGGACAAACGGTGCCCATCGCGCCTCTCAAGTTTATCGGAGCCAGTTCTGTTAAGTACAACGGTATCACAGGCATTACCAGACCTGAAAAAAAAAAAAGAACATTAATAATGAAAAAAATGAAGCAATAAAATTGGAAAAGATTTGTTTTCTAAGACAGAATTATTATTTAAAATTCCTTCTTTTCCAATTTCACTGCAATTTTATCAATCACTCTATGACAGATAGGCCTATAAGACGTTGTGACGAAAAATAAAATACAAAAGACAAAAAAAATAATTCGTAAAGTAATCGTTTTTTTTTTTTTATTACCTCGAAGAGGGTTTAATATAAAATTAAATATTTAGTATTAGTTTTTATAATAAGTGTTAGTTTATAATAAATCTTAGTTTTAAGTATTCATTTTATTTCGGACTGGAATAACCAACAGATGATTGGAAAACAAAAGACAGTTTAGAAAGAGATAACGGAACCTCGCGAGTGTTGAGGCACGCTAAGGATGTTTGTGTGTGAAATACTTTAGTCTTACGGCGTGTACCGGATTTTCTTTTCCTATCCATGAACCTGTGATTATCAGCAACGAGTGCCGTTTGATTTTACAAGTTGGTGAATGGACATTTTCACAGCTTAAATAAGTGGACTGGGGAGACACTGACAATGCTAGCTGGAATAAGTTACCGTTTCCTCTGATAACTCAATATGCCAATTGGACAAAGTTCGGCATTGAGATTTTGTAAATATGTATATATAAGTTTTTATTTCCTATCTATTTTTTTTTTAAATGTTTGTAATTGGTTTATTGTATAGTTTAAGTTAATGTTTAGTTCTATAATAATTTTATATTCTTTTTTTTTTATGATTAAAGTTAATTGTATTTTCTTTGTTTTCTTATAAATCTAATTTCTTGTTCATAATTTTCATTTCCTTTAACAGTTATTTAAATCAATAGAAATAAGTAAATTCATATTTAGTATTAATAATAGCCAGTTTTATTTTCTTATTTTTCTTCAGTTTGTTTTCACGTTTTATGTATATATTATATTGTTTTTTTTTTATGTTTAATAAGGAACTGTAAAACCCTATTCGAAGGATTAGAGAAAGTCATTATTAACCAAGTAAGAAGGTTCGATAGGTTATGAGGTTAATTAACATATGTTTTTAAACCCATAGGTTCAGAGTTCATAGCTCACTCTGAGTCCTAATCTTTTCTTTTTAAATTAAATTTATTTTTTATTTTTGTGGTTTTCACTATTTTCCAAATTCAATAAATTAAATAGCGTGGCGCTCGTTAGAAAGTTATTAATATTTAATTGACTCTTCATTATTTATTATTATTTTTTTTTTTTTGCAAACCCTGCCGTCTCCACTGAGCATCCAGCAAGTTTGTTGCGGAAACAATTTTTTCCAAATTAAAGACCGTAACAATATCAATATTCTTATAATTTCGTTTTTATTAACAACCTCTTATTTCTTTTGGAAGTATCGCTACTATATGAAGTGATCGTTCAGGAGTTTTATTATTAGTAAAATTATGAGATATTACAATAGCAGAAAAAACTAGAATAAAGATAAAGACTCAACTCACCTCCACTTAGGCCAGCTACCAACCTTGCCAAGAAAAAAAGCTCAACAGAGTTTAACGGTTTAGTAAAGACGAACATCAAGGAAGTAATGAAGCTCGCCACTGCTCCAATCATGAGGGTTCCTTTCCTGAGAAAACAAATTCAAAATTACTTGCTATAGATAATAATGTCTTAATTTTCAATTTGTGATCATTGATGTTTTGGTTGTTGCAATAAAAACACAAAATGTTCCGAACAGTGTTAAAGAAAATTGGTAGGAACAGAGGGGCATGCATGAGATGCAGTTACGTCAGCTCCTAGCTTATACCATTGGATATCTTATACTTATTACTTCATTATAATAGTTCCAAGCTTCAATACTTCCACATAAGAAATATAATTTTTTTTTTCTTTCATCCTGTCGTCTCTCAACAAAAATATTTAGTTTACAATGTATTATATTAGCTCTTATAAATAAATAAAATAAGCTAAGTGCTGAGAGAGGTTGGGCAGTATCGCGTTTGGCATATAGGTAACACCATAGTGGAAAACATGTCCACCAGTCCGCAGTTCCCACCATATCTCTCTGACACACTGTTTTTTTTTTTAATTTTATAACCTAAATATGAATTTTTTAAAGTTATTTAAAAGAGAACTGATTTTAGAAAGATTTTAACTATAATAAATGTTAAAGTTTCAATTATTTAAAAGCTTGACAAAAATTCAAGCATAATTCCCAGTGTACAAGAAATTCTACCCAACTGCAGAGCCAATTTTTTAAGTGAAAACTTCTTTAGGCGCTTTTTCTCGTGGAAAGTGAATTAGATTGAGCCGTCAGATCTCAGATGTGTAACGCTTAGGTAGTCGGCTAATTGAAGTGTTTTTGCATATGGATTAAAATATTTCAAACCTAAAAATTGGACCTGCATATTGTTAGCGAGATAAATGTTCATCATTTCATCCTCTTTGTAATGAGTTATTATTCAAAATTGTATCTTAACACGACACTATGTTAGAGAGGCAAAAAAAAGAAAAATAGTGTCGAAAACCAAATTAGTTTTATTGAATGTATGGATTAAAATCTTTCAGAAACTAAAAATCGGACCTGCATATTGTAAGCGTAGGAATTGTTCAGCATTTCACCCTCTCTGTAATGGGCTATTATTCAAAATTGTATCTTAACGCGACACCGGTTTAGGCTGGCAAAAAAGAAAAATATTTGTCAAAAACAAGTGATGAGTTTTATTGAAGATATGGATTAAAATATCTCAGAAACTAAAAATCGGACCTGCATACTGTACGCAAGGAAAATGTTCAGCATTTCATTTTCTTTATAAGGAGCTATTATTTATAATTTATATTTCATATTATTAATCTTGCCTTGATGTTTTCACTTCTATCGTGTAGTCTAAAACACACACCTTAGTTTCTTTATTAACTCTATTTCAGTTCATAGGTCAGAAGAAACATAGATATATGTAGAAATTATAAATCATTGAACCAAAAGAAAATGTTTAATTATGAGAAATAAAGATTGTGCTAAAGGGTTAGGGTTAGGTTCATGTGAAAATTTGAGAATCGGGATGGAATAACGTCAAGGATATAAGGGATGTATAGGTCATGATGTAGGGTTTTGTTTGTAACGTAATAAGGAGCATTGACTATCATACGGAGGACTTTAGACTGAAAGGATTGGATGCGTTTGATGTTCAAAAATTAAGTTTAAAAAAAATTTTCAAACATCAAACGCATCCAATCCTTTCAGTCTAAAGTTCTTCATATGATAGTTAATGCTCCTTATTACGTTACAAACAAAACTCTACATCATGACCTTAACATCCCTTATATCCTTGACGTTATTCCATCCCGATTCTCAAATTTTCACATGAACCTAATCCACCATCCTACCCTTTAGCACAATCCTTATCTAGCTCCAGTCATCCCTACAACCCTCCTCGAAGGTTGAAACGGCAGTGGCCTCGAGATCTCTTGTAAAGACGTCACTGGAGTTCTGGCAATGGCCAGCTTCTCCACTCAAGTCATGAGTGTTTGTGGTTTTAGTGCCCTCTCTCAGTCTCCACCGGACTGGTAATGGCGGCGACGCGGTTGAGAGAGAAGTGCTGGGATCTCTTAGAGTCTCGCTTTGTCCTTCACACGTGGGGGAAAGGGCTGGACTCGGAGATCTCTTGCCTAATTGTAAATATTGTATTTAAGTATGAATGTTTTTCTATTTATTTCTATTACTTATAATTTATTTAATTTTGCTACGAATTTCTGTATTTCATTTAATTTTATCTCTAAGTTACATTTCCTTGGTTTATTATAGTTTTTGCCTTTGTTATATAGATTTTTATATTTTTTATTTTTTTTATTTATTTTTTTTTTTTTTATGGTATTGTATATATGGTATGAATGTGCCTCACTCAGACTTAGTACTCAGTGCCCTTAAGTGTGGCAAAATGTATTATTCAATGTATCAATTATTCATAAACATAATATATCATAATATCATTCATATAATTATTCATTGTATCAAAATGTATCAATAAACAGATACAAAAAAAAAAGAAAAAAAATTATGAGAAAAAAATGATAAAATATTTATTATATGCAATTTTATAGCAAAAGTTGTTTAATCTGGACTATCAAGGGTGCAAACAGAGTTCGGTCCCATCTAGTCCAGAATTTACTGCACTAGCAAATCAAATGGTTATTTACCTTCCAAACCTATCGGCGAACCACGCACCGGACAAAGATCCGACCATACCACCAACGAGAAAGATGGACACAATTGATGACCACACGATATCCATCTGGTGGTTGTTGAGTACCATGTCATATTTCTCGATAACGGATTCGTTTATCCACTTCTGGAGTAACTATAAAAAAAAAAAAATTATTATATTTAAAAGCATTATTTAAATTATAGCACAAAATGAAAATAACATTTTTATATATTTAATTAAATTTTAGGCAAATTAACAGACCTTTAAAACTATATTATTGGTTAAAAAAGAGTCACATTAACATTTCAGAATATAAGAGGTTAATCCAGACCATATGCAAATACAAAATTAAAAACTAAAGAAACATTTAAAAAATAAAATCTGTCTCAAGTATGCTATGAAAATTGAAGAGAAAATCTAGTTCTTAAAAATATGCATTTTTTTTACGTTCAGAATATATTTAGTGTTTGCACTTGCTGACGATGAATTTTTAATAAATCAATTATTTCAAACATATTTAATTATTCTGATCTCACATACATTTAGAATTAAATAGAAAATAAATTGATACTTTTATGAAAGAAAAATAAATTAACTAAAATTCATCTTTATTTTAGAATACCTATAACTAAGATGAAACTTAAAAAAATGATGATTATGAAAATTTTATATACGCCAAAGTTAATAATTTTTAATAAAATTGGAAAATTTTAAACATCATATTTTGTAAGAGCAACTAATAATAGCACAAAACACAGTAAAGTTGAAAATTTCTGAAAACCGTTCTTCTTATCTGCAGAACATATTATTAAAATCAATTGATTTTTATATTAATTATGCCTATTTCACCTACAAGAAAAAAAAAAATGTAGCTCCAGTAATCGAATCGGAAAAAGGCGTATTCCGTTTATTTCAAACAATCATAAGTAACTAAAATTTGAAAAAAAAAAAATCAGTTTTTGCATTCCAAAATAAGTTCTGACTTCATTAAAGCCTATAAGAATATTAAGTAAATTTTTACTTATTGATGGAGCAGAATAGTTCAGTGAGTTAGGTACTGGGCTGCTAAGTTCAAGGTCCTGGTTCGAATCCGACTGATTCCAAGTAATTTTTTATCAGCCGTGGTACATCAATGTCAGGAGACCCTCAAGGGGCACACCTAGCCTCTATAAAGTGGGTACTCTTAATTAAATAATTAATTAAGGGGAAAAACCTGGCAATTGAGTGTGATCCTAGCCAAATCACTTTCCTGCCTTGATGGGCCGTTGTGGTATAAGTTTTTTTTTACTTTTAGATCAATTTTTTTTTTTTTAAATTCTAAAGTCTTGTTCTTTTTTGGGAAAAATTGTCTGTAAAGGGTTAATTTTCAACCATCTTAATGTTTATGGTCCTCGATAGAAAATAAGTATAATTGTATCACAGGATAAATAAAATTTACATAAGACTCATAAAATGTTTCTGCTTTGAACAAAGATTAATTTGTAACGAAGTATAATAATAAAAAAAAGAAAAATCTATTATGAGTCGAACCGTTTGGTGACCTCTCAATGATAAACAATAAACAAAGATTCTTGTCTAGCCACGTGTATTAAAGATAATTCATGTGCATTTAAACAAGGCAAGGCAATCAATCTGCCCTTAAGGCTAACTATCAATTGACATCGAAAGTTATATCATTACAGTTATATCATCATCTAATGTAGTCCTAAGACGCACATTTATTTACATTTTTTTATTAATAAGAATTTATAAAAACAGGTTAAAAAGTAAAAAACTGGTTATAAATTTATAAAAGTAATCAAAATCTGTTTTTTTTTTTTACAAACAGAAACCTCTTCCATTTTTAAATAAAATCTTTATTCATGTTCCATCATTGATGTTTTGGGTCGTTGATCCATCATCATGGACGATATTTCATTACAGTTATATTTTCTTATTGATAATAAATTTGAAGCATTAGTCACTTATAAACAATATATTTATTCATATTTAAGGCAATAATACTTCCAATTTTCTTCAAATTCTTTTAAATACATTTGTTATCTATAACGTTTCAGAACAATTTTCCCATGATCAGAGCAATCTTTATCTTTACTGAAATTATCCACATTTTATTTTAACTTTTTTTTAACAATATAATTCTACTTCATCTATTGTACAATTATTTATCTTTTTTTTTTTTGATGTGGCACCATTTATCAAAAATCAAATATTAGTCACATTTTATAAAACTACTTTTTCGTATTACACATCTTTTCATATTCATTGATACACTTATGTGTAACACCAAAAATTGTTTTAAAAAATGTCACAAATATTTGAGTTTTGACAAATGGTGCAACATCAAAAAAAGAAAGGTAAATAATTGTACAATAGATGAAGTAGAATGATGTTGTTAAAAAAAAGAAAATATTAAATGCGCATAATTGCAGTGAAGATAAGGATTGCTTTGATGATGCGAAAATCGTCCCGAAACGTAAGAGATAACAAATGTAATTAAAAGAATTTGAAGAAAATTGGAAGTATTATTGCCTTAAATATGAAAAAATTATAAACGTATGCTTCCTAATAAAAGAAAAGAAAAATAATAAGATAACAATATATTTATTTATTTCATAATTTACTAAAAATATATTCTTTTTTTTTAATGTACTATTATATTCGACCAATACCAGAAAAAATCCTTTTTAGTTAATTTTATGGAAATGACAAAATGAATAAATACATTGGGTGCAATATATGACAAAGAGTGCAATAATGAAAATTTATTATGATAAGGATAATATAATTGTAAAGGAAAACTATGCAAAAATACAAGCAAAGGGCTTGAAACGCTGATGGTAGAACTTAATAAACAAAAAAAACGGAAGGTGTTAGGTCACAAAAAACTGGCAAATTTACTAAATCACTCTTCTATAAATTTTAAAATTTATAAAAAAGGTTAAAACGTACAAAAAAGTTTGTGTTATAAATTTATAAAAGTAATCAAAATGTTTATTTGTGAGTTTGTTTTTGTTAAGAGACCTCATTAAAAAAAAAAAAAAAAAAAAAATGTTTCGGGCTCTTAACCTTCACGGATAATATTTCTTCAGAATTATATGAGCCTTTTATTTTACCTAATGACTAATTCCAATTTCAAAATTTTTGAGTAGTCATGTTAGTGATATTTCTTGTTGTAAAATTTATCAGTACAGTAAGTTGATTCCAGAGTAGGTGATTGCAGTGTTGAAATATAGAACTATACTTAAAGGTATACATTTTCCCACTAGAAATATCACTAAAATTAATAATAGAAACTGTAAAGAAAAATTATCTATGAAGATGAAGAGAAGAATAGTTGGGGTGGTCAGTCAAAAAGGAAGGCAAAAAATAAATTATAATATTTATTTTTTACATATGCCGACGATTCGACCTGAAGTTCAGGCCTTCATCAGGGCTAAGAAAATAACCAGATAACAAGGTATGAGGCTCATACCTTGTTATCTGGTTATTTTCTTAGCCCTGATGAAGGCCTGAACTTCAGGTCGAAACGTCGGCATATGTAAAAAATAAATATTAACATTTATTTTTTGCCTTCCTTTTTGACTGACCACCCCAACTATTCTTCTCTTCATTATCCACGAAAGTCAACCAATTACCAATTATGTATCTATGAAGATGCGCGAAAGACTTGAAACGTAAATGATGGAACACAACAAATAATAAATTTATTTAAATATGGAAGATCTTATTTCACAAAAAAAATCTCAATTTACTAAATCACTCTTTTTCATCAGACAATAATCAAGAAATGGATAACTAAAACATTTTATCTGTTCATTCTAATTTTAATAGAACAAATCTTATGATTCCTCATATCAAACTATTTTTAACATAAATCCACTATAAGCTATTCAAGGAAAAATAATCTACAATAGTAATTTTTTTTTTTATTGTTTATGGATAAATCTGTTGAGATAGATATAAAAGGAATTACATAAATACAATTTTATCTGCCTAAAATTGTATGTTAAAAAAAAAAATAGTATACTACAATTATTTAATATTTAAAAGAACCCTGAAAATTATTTAGATTTTATTTTATTTTTAAGGCATTGGAAAAATGATTTCGAGAACAATATATTATCTATCATATCTTCATAATAAATGAGGGTGATCTGTGACTTTAGTGCAAAATCTGAATAAAATCAACCCAATATTAATTGAGAAACTCGGGGGACAACGCACAGCAGAAATGAATACAATTATTCAACAAAACAATTGACCATTTTTGTGTTAAGGAAGACACAAAATTGGTCTGAACTCATTTTCCGTTCAGAATCGGCCCATGCATCAAATGTACTTTTTTGATACATTGCTTCACTTAGCGATGTTCTGTAAATATGCTTTTTCTATTCTGCCAAATTCTCTTAAAAGAAATTTCTTTAAATTTTATAACTGCTGAAATTTGCTTTACTACAGCCGGAATTGAAGAAAGGAAGGCATTAAAGTAGCGAACTCATGGCAAATTTTAATTTATTATGAATTTCCTGACATATTAATTAATTTCCCAGAGTGGTAGACACTCAGTTTTCTCATGCAGTAATAATTGCAATTCTTATTCATAATAACGCCATATTAGTGCACTCATTATATTATTTTAATATCAAACTGATAAACAACAGCTTTATAGTATCGTAATTGATTTTAATAAACCACTCATTGTTCTATTAATGACTGACGGTATTCTGACAATAGTCCGCAGATTATCCTTTTGTAATACATTATCCTTTAGTGATATTATCTTGATACAAAAAAATAATAACTTTTTGTTAAACAGACAACAATAGAACACATTTATACTTAACTGATTCAAATTATTATAGACTTAATGACTTCAGCTTACCCCTGAGGGAGTGTTGAGGACCCCGATCGAGAAACCGATGGGAATTGAAGAACCGATAGTCGTTGCGACTCCAGCCAGGACGACGAGCCATGTCCAACCAACGCTCTGCAACCAAGTAACCGCATTTCCTGATGTAAACAGCAAAAAAAATGTTATAAAAACAATCTGCTTACTTTATCTTTTGGAAGGTATTGTAAAAAAATTTTTACATGCAACATCGGCATTGCAACAAAAAAAAAAAAAAAAAATGAAAAAAAGGTTTTTCCTAGTGTTCATTTCAAGCATGCTGATATCCTTTTTCTTGAAATTTCCTTAAGCTAAAATTTTTAGATTGTATTGAATTATTTAACTACAAATTAAACATATTTAAAATGGTGTGAAAAAATCTCTGAACATACCAAATTTGTATAAACATGATAAATATTTCAATTTCAAATCATTCTTAAAAGTAAATATGTTTAAGCTTTCAGAAACGGTAATTTTTTAACAAAGAATTCAAATCATTAGTATCTTCTTAAAAGTAAATATGTTTAAGCTTTCAGAAACGGTAATTTTTTAACAAAAAAAAAAAAAAAAAAAAAAAAAAAAAAAAAAAAAAAAAAAAAAACGGAAACGAATCCACACCTTTTTGTGCTTAGAAAAGTTTTAAAAGAAGAATGAGAGAAGATTTTGCCAGAGTATATTGCTTCATTAATTTTCAGTTTAAAGGAAAGAATTTGCAAAGATTTTGATATTGTAAACACATCATTCAATCATGTGATGTCAAAATCTTATTTTATATTTATTCACAGAATATAAATGTATTCATGTATTATGTTCTTCTCTTCCTCTTCCTCATTGTACCTTTCAGCGTGGACTATTATGATATATGTATTATGTTTAGGTAAATAAAGTATATATTTTACTTTGAATATTTTTTTATTGAATTTTAAACACTAGGACTTGTTCAAATACTTTTTCACACCAATGTATATACAATGATGAATAAATTTAAATTATTTAACTGCAATATAACTTATCAAAATTTGAATATTATAGAAAACAAAATAAAGAATTTGACTGCACCAAAGTAATAAAGAAATAATTAAATAAATTATCAAACCATTTGAAGGTGAAAGCCAACTGAAAAAACTGCCCGAACGCTCAATTCTATCAGTCGAAGAATCAATATAATTTACTAAAACTATATCATTGAAAAAAAAATAAGTTAAGGCTTGCCGAATAACTTATAGAAAAATAAAAAATAGCCTCTTTATTATAGAATTACTCCATCTATCTCCAAAAGCTGTAACTAGAAAAAAATATATAATAGAAATAAAATAAAATGTAAGAAAAAAAAATATCAAAAAGTGTATTCACTTTGGAATACTTCCAGTTTTTCAAAACCTAACTTTTATAATTTGATGGGATCAAACAATAAGATAAAATGTTTACGATACCTTCCAAATAAAAAAAATAATTTGAAATATATAAAAAAAATTGAAGAAATTCAACATTGATAGAAATCAAAGTCTCTAAAGTCACCACTAATAAAAAGATAAAGAATTTTACATTGCAGAGTTTCCAGAATATGGTTACAAGTAAAATTAAAGAATCAGGAAAAGTTATCAATTTTGCATCTTGTTAGGTTTAAGGAATTTGGTTCATGAAAAAAAAAATCTTATTTTTATTTTTTTGATTTTTCAAAATAAATCTGAATAGTATATATCATGTATTTAATTGGCGTAAGCCTAGTATAATTAGAAACCAAATAATTTTTCTTCTTTTTTTATTTTATTAGCCAAATTTTGGCAGAACAACAAAGGGGTTAAGGATGGTTAAAGTTATAGGAACTGATTATCACTAAAATATAAAAATAATATTTATGTAATAAGTATAACATAACATATTTTTAGTACTTAGAAAAAAAAAACAATGAAATATTTAAAAATAAAACAGTGGAAACTTAAAAAAGACTACGATTTCCTTAAATCAAAAATATTATTGAAGTATAATTATATTGTTGAAACAATTTAAATAATTAAAATTCAAAAGATATTAAGACAAATATATTTCAAATCATTGATATACCAAAACCATAATCTAAAAACATATCATTACATAAATGATATAAAATAATAATACCTTAAATTATAATTGTAAAAATAAAAAGATATAAAATCTTATAAACACGAATATATACAGGCAGGATATATATGAAATCTCTGAAACTATTCAGTAAAATTTAGTTTTGTATTATATTATATTAAAAATAACAAGTGTAGTTTATTCTGTAGACAAATATGGATCTACAATGCTTATTAAACCCATTTTAAATTAAAAACTAAAAAGGTAGAAAGTTCGAATTTGACAGGAAGATAAATTTTGTGTGTTTAAATTGTATAACACATTTACATGACTTTATTGGTCCATTAGAACAATATGAAATTTAGAGGAATTTTGAACTAAATTATACGAAAAATGGTAGAATTTTCAAAAATTACAAAAAAATTGGCGATTTAATTTGATATTGTATAAACTTGGCTTTTTTGCCTTTTACAGCAAACATGAAACAAACAACAATTTTACAATATTAAAGGGCCACCTGTTGAGATAGTTTGAGTTATAGGAAGGTAGCGGACAAAGATGACCAATTTACATAGTTCGGGTAAAAAATTGGATAAAAAAATAAATATGGGTATAATGTTTTTAAAAAAAATTATATTCACCTTGCCTCGCCTTCAAACATGAAATTATCACAGCTAATAATTGATAAAAATGTATTTTCTTTTCTTACATAACCATTTTGTTCTTAAAAAAAAAAAAAATACAGATGCCAATCAAATTCTTCACATAAGAACTAGTAAAAAATGTCTCGAGAAAATTTAAGATAGCAATTATCAATTAAAAAATGTTATATAAATGTCCGAATCAAAACAATATACCTTAATAATGATTTAGTCTTGTGAAAATCTAACAAATAAAAAGAATCTGTTTTTTTTAGAGAACATAATAAAAAGCTTCGATAGGATCTATTAAGCACAATTGCAAAATAAAAACGTTATGACACTTTTGAAGGTCTTAAGATATTTTCATCATTCCACCAGTGAGGAAATACCACTTAGATGTGTGGAGAAAATATTTTCATACAAATTTAGGAACAGAATAGGTTTTTGTGGTTTGTATTGATTCTATATTAAGATGCTCAAAAGCATATTATATGATGGTAGAAAACTTTAAATGTTAAAAATAAAATAAATAAAACAAACAAGAAATTTTGACCATTTATAACATCCTATACATTTTACAATGTTATATTCTGCTTATTTTCTATTAAAAATGCATATCTATTATAAAAAAATATTGAATCTTAAATTTTATTTCACAGAAACGAGTTATTGGGTCAAACAGAAATTTAATTTTGAACCAAATTAAGAATAAAATCAAATCTATTTTATAATTAAAAATTTAATACACCAGTCTTGTCAATATAAAAAATAATGTTAAATGAACTTGAGTTCTTTAAATGTCTTAAATACAAAACCAATGTTTTTAGAGGAATATAACACCGTTAATTATATAAAAAGAAAATGAGATTGTTTCATTTTTTTTAAGCATCATTAATAAATCAAACAAACAAGGAAGTATATGATTGATCACTGTTTAAATAATACTTACTGGGATATACAGAAAAGCTCCTAACAGAAGTACACACCAACAATTACTAAACACTATAAAAATTAACTGTTTTCATGGAGAGTAGAGTGACACCGATCATGAATAAATTTAAAATTCATATAGATCAATGTCATACAATAATTAATGATGATATAACTATGCACATTATCAACTATTAAACTACATATTTCTTTTTATTGCATTAAAGCTCTGAACAGTTAGAAAATACAATGTTATTGGCACAAAGCCACTACTGCATTCAAATAAACAAGTGAACTACTAAAGTTGGACTAGTTGAGTAAGTATGAAGTTAAAATTGAATACTTATTATATATTATGATACAAACAAAACGTTAGATAATTTCTTAAAACCTCAATAATTCTAAAACCATCACCTATTAGAGAATTTTGTTAATGAAACGGATTTGTCAAGTGATAAAAAAATGTGAGTTACTAACAGTAGTTTTTAAAAAATGTATAAACTTACCTTTCTTCTGTTAGAAACAAGTATTTCTACCGCTTTTAAATCGGAATTCAACAGACTTGTGTCCATGTCTGTGGGCGAATGCTCTCTGACTGAAGGTAACAAACGGTTGGAGGTTTACATAGACTTGAAGTGTTCTTATAACGCCTACTAATGAGTTTAATCTTCATAATACCTTTACGACTCTTCAATTTTTTTCTTTTTTTTTACAAATAATTATAAAAAAATCAAGAGAGGGATTCAAGAGGGATCACCTACTTTATTCTGAATGATTGCGAAAGAGGAAAAATTTTTGTTTCAAAAAGAAGCTTATCCCCTCTCCTCAATACATAATAACCACTTAAATAATTAGAATAAATGATTCTTCGTAAAACAATAGAATTCTAAAAATAATTCAACACGTGAAAGGAAACGGATTTCGTAATACTCTAGTTTGATCGTGGAGTAATGATATCCTTTTAAAAACTGTAATTTATTAAAACATTTCTAAGATATATATTTAATAAAAAAAACTCTTATCGTAATTTTTAAGTAAGCCAGTGGATAAATAAAGATTCAGATTAAATTATACAACCTTGATTTTTAATCTTTTTTATTTTAATAATTCTTGATTGATTCCTTATTATTGATTAGGATATCTCTACAATACAACCCTATAACATTCTTCTACTTTGATATTTAATGTATTTTTAAATAATTTCTGATTAAGATATTTCTATTTAAAACAAGAAAAGTTTTGTTGCGAAATAACAGTTCTCATATCGTACTGTTTGCATAGAATTATCACAACGTTGTAGGCAATGCAAATGTTTACTGATATGCCACAGATATTTTAAAAATAGTATTACTCACATGCAAATAATAATAGTTCATAATGCATGTGAAAAAAGTTAGTAAGAGTGCAATATAGAGGCCGGAAAGAATTTAGCGATAACTAGAAAAATTATCTTTTTCGAGACGTCATTTAATCATTTGTGTTGTGGTTTTCTCAATATAATATACTTATTTATACTATGAAAGATTATGAAATTATTCGGTAAAAATCGCGAATAAGAATATCGGCCAGTTTCAGGCTATTCGGTATTCGTTACTCATGAATACTTCAGTATTTGTTAATAGTAATTCGGAATACTTTCTTTATCTGTATTTTTAGTAGACTAGTAAAATGGCTAATTGGTCTACAATAACGGACAAACTTAAAAAATATTACTTTAATGTCCTTCGGTTATCGAGGTTTCAATTCGATAATGTTGAAAACGGTTGATTATCTCTTCCCATTCATCAAACCGCATCGGGTTCACATCTCGACCTTGGAGAAGGACTTTCAGGAAGAACAAAATTTATGATTAGGGATTTGGAGGTATTTTCTTGTAAACATAGACAAGTTTTATTAGAAGAGTGGAGTGGCCGAGCGGGCTGACGCGATGTGTAAAACACACGATAAATCGAAGATTAGGAGTTCAAATCCCGTTGCTTAGAGAATTTTGATTCTGATATCGATCCTCCACCCTCTCCTCTGGCCCAGAAAAATCCTGAAAGGCTTGAAGAAGAAAAAAAAGGGCAATTTTAATGGTCTCATATGTTACCATGAAAGTTTGTAAAGATGTGGCTTACAAACAATTGCAGTTGGGTCACAAACCTGTAAATAATGCTATTTTTTTCCCCGCTGGTAAGATGTTTATAATGGATGGGAGGAGGGTAAATTTTTGGTGGGAGAACAATTTAAGGATTTTCTTGCTTTATTTATTCTGCAATTACTTGTATTAGAATTTTGGCATCGAAATTTTTAGAGTTTATTTTTATGATAGTCACTGATATTGTAACTACTTAACTAAATCTACAACTATTGGGTGGTATTGAAAAGAAAAAAAACTAATTAAAAAACCTATTAAACTTCAAGAGTTTGTACTGCTTTGATTGAATATAGTTGTAGAAAGTATTTGCGATCGGCTAACCACAATAAAAAAAGTTACAATTACTTCTCAACTATTGAATACCTTGATAGTTTGTAATTTATAGTTGAACGGTATTTGATTTTTTTCTTAAGTATGGAAAAAAAGTTTGATACTTAAAGGAGAATATTCGTTTGCCGAGATACTAGAAGTAATCGTTACTCGTTGTTAGTGAATGCGAGTACCGAATATAAATAAATTCCAAAGCATTCTTTTGAATTCGTAATTGCGAAAACAATTTGCCCAACTCTTTGCTATAAAAAGTATTGAGGACTTACATGAACGCGTCGTTTCTGAATACCATAAACAATTTCTCGAAATTTTTTTAAACATTCAGCAATAAATTGACTAAATAAATTATAATTTTCTTAATGATTAAATATATGAACAATAAAAGCCAATATTAAGCCCAAAATCGATATATTAATGAATTTTATCTTTTAAGGCATTACTCGCGAACGATCAATTCACTGAAGTTAGTGCATAGTAAATTTTTGCTCAAAGACAATTTTCCGGAATTCCCTTGTTTATTTTGACTCATTTAAATATTATTTGCTTTTTATTGTTTATTGCATGAAAGTATGTTTCTATTACGTTAGCCAAAATGTTATTTTGACTTATATTGCTATTATTTTTTATGGCTAATAAGAGTTCAGAATATCACTTAATATTGTAAATTTATTTTCACTTAATCTGTGCATAAATTAGAGAGCTCGCAATATTGCTTAATATCCAGTGTTATGAATAGATATTAAGTTTGATTTGTGCGGAATATTTATATTTTAGTATGTGAAGTGCAGAGCCAGGATTACTTCGTTTTGGACCCGTCTGAGTATATATTAATTTGTTGTGGCCAGTTTTCTGTAAGTAAGAATTTTATATTTGCAGTTATCATAATCTGGAGTAACGAGTTGAATTGTTTATTATTTTATTTAATATTTGAAATAACACATCATATTTAAGAGTACACAGTGGTAATTTAGTAATTACAAATAAATTGTCTGCTAATTTTATAAATAGATAAGAGATATATGTTTTTTTTTTCAATATGTCCAGGTTACAAGATGTGATGTGAGGTTACTTGATGTGTCGAAAAATCATTTTTACACCAAAAAAACTTTTTTTTCCTCTCTAATTTTCTTATTTTATTTTGGAAAAGACTTTTGAATTTCTTTCTAAGAACATCCTTTTGAATAGTCGGTCTGTTCAATTGTTGTATGAAGGTATCGTTTCATACTTCATTGTATGAAATAATAATAATCGGTATAGCATTATTCCATATCACCTTGTAAAACATTCTTGATGTAAAACTTATGGTGGCACGAACTGTTTTCCAAGTGAAATTAGCTGAGATAAAGAGAAATAATGAGATGTTTGTGATTTGTATTATTCATACAGGATATTAAGCAGCAAATGAACAGTAATTCAATAAAAATTTAATCAATTGAATTTCCATTAAATTCCAATAATTACATGTTTGTATTCATTAAACTTAGTAAGTACCGTTTTTCTCGCGTGACATGGCTTGTTCCTTGCGGACATAATTGTCAAAAACTTGAAAAAAATTGACAAACATCCTCCTAACCTAACCTATACAAGCGATCACCATGGTAACCGGTAAATATATTACATAAGTTGCTCTTTTTTTGAAAATATTCAATTAGTAATTAATTGTAAATACGGCTTTATTTGTTTTTGAAAATAGTCATCATTAATATAGCCTTTTTAACAATATTTTATAGACAATTTTCATGATTATTTTTCACTTTTTTTTTCTTGAACTAAAATGAATGAATGAAAATAACTAATTATAAATTCGGTAATTTTGTATTTCACATATTTAATCAATAGTTTTATGCCCATATTCCCTTTTATTTTTTTATTATTTCATATTATCCTATTATGATTATAATGTTCTCGAAATTATGAAGCAGTTATCAATCAAATTGCAAATAATACATTACCTTTTGATTTAATCATAGACGTCCATCTTCCCCCATCCCAAGATCGATGGCGCATGAGTTAACCTCCTCTTACAAGAAATTTTATTGCTTTTTTTTCTTAAAAATGGTATCAAAGTAGAATTAGAAAAATCTTAGATCATTTACAATTACACTTACTGTTGTCTGGTTCATGTTTTCCCTTCTCCTCCCAGCACTAGCGGATCCAGGATTTAATTTTGGGGGAGGGCCTCAGCCCGAAAGATTTTTTTTTCATATACATATACCGATAATTAATTTGAAAAAAAAGGAAAAAAATTAACTACCTATATGAAATAGTGTTTAAGTGGTTCTTGAAGTCTTATTAAATATTATTACACGAACAAGAATACTTTAAGAGATAGTATTTAATATTTTTTTCTGTAAAACCTTGTTATATTTTACTATTTTTTTTTTTGGGGGGGGGGGGGGTTTAGCCCGAAAGCCCCCTTCCACCATAGATCCTCCTATGCCTCCCTCCCCAGTATACAACTTTTTACTCTGAAAATTCACGACCCTGTCGAAATGTGCCCACATCAAAAATTTTGATATCGCAACTTAGGCCATGAAACCCCCATTAGGACAATTCTGGCTTTAATATTTTTATAAAGTAATATTATATGTCTTATACATTTTAATTTATTGTTTAATACTTATTTATCTTATACAAAAATATAAATAATACTTTTTAATATGTTAAAATTATTATTTATTATTGTTAATGAATAATGTAGAGAAGATGCGAACAAATTGGCGACCAACGCTTGACTATCAATGTATGTATGTTCTCACAAGTAGAAGAAGGTTGAAGACTCCTAAGCTATTCTATTGTATTGAGTCAATTCAAATGGGTGACCACCAAATATTGCGCTCAATGGTACCAAATGGTGAGAGGGATGTTTTCAAGCAATAGGACACCTGCAGAAGCAGTTGGAACTGAAACTTACCTTGATTGAAGCTGTCTCTGGTGGGGTAGAGCAATTGGAATTAGATTTGGTTTGGCTGTCGTCGCAAAGGAATTTCTTGTCTGGGTCCATTTCTTTAGGCGTGCTTCTTCTGTTTTCTTTCAGCTTTTGGTTATCTATAAAAACAAAGATGAGATAAAAATGATGTTGTTTTGATATAATTAGTTCGAGGAGAGAGATCTTATACCTAAAAGTAGACTGTTAGGAAACAAAGAGATGTGTGATATTGAACTTTTCAAGGGTAATTAGCGTGGAACTGAGTAGTTCGTGGTCTGTTCACGAGACTGACTGATTAGAACAATTAGTTGGGAGTCAATGAAAATAAAAACTCCACCTCATATCAATTAAATCCAAGGCTAAACAGCTGGAGGAATGTGTATACACTACTTCACGCACTATACTGAATGCAAGGAATGTCATATCAGGAAAAAAAAACCTACCTAGCAAATTAGAATAGCTTCTTAACTATTTTTTATTGTATACATAAACATCGTTAAGTTTATATAATATATGTATTTTTTTAACTTTTATTTTTATATACACATGTAGTAGATATTCCCCGCCCCCACAGTATTTACTCCTTTATGTGGCATTGTGTGAGGGGATATAGGGGAGAAGGAATATATAGGAATGTGAGGTTGCACTACGAATTGTACTCAATTGTGCAGTGGACGAATTATTCATTGAAAAGCCTGATATCGATAAATAATCGACGAAGAAGAAGGTTGGAATAGGACCGAGCAGATAGCAACAGCTGGAGAAAGACGCTGGAGAGAGCAGAACTCACTCTAGGCCGGACAGGAAGGAAGGATGTTGTCAGAAGAGAGAGCCACTGCACTGAAGATTTAGAAGATCAAGCCTAAAGTTATAAGATTATAATAGATTCACTTATTACAGTTGTAAAATAAATTGTTTTGTTAGACAGGAGTGAAAAGTCATTTATTTATTTAGTTGTTCCATAGGGCTCACAATTGAAGAATAATAAACCAGGTGAGCCAATTCATTAAAGTATATTTACTCAGTCCCACATTATATATATATATATATATATATATATATATATATATATATATGACTCCACAAACTTTCATACACATTTTAAACGACTGCCAGTTATACGAACACAAAAGAGCCAACTTCCTGAAATCTTCTTTGACGCAAGGAGACACATGGCCTCTTCCCGAACCCATACTATACAAAAAATACAAGAAGGAGTTGAAGGAATTCATTAATAGCATAAAATTATAAGACATTCCAGCATAGCTCTTTTATTTAATATACTTCTAAAGTTAGACTTATGTCTTTTATTCTTTATTTTGTTGATACTCAATTGTAAATTTGTAACATTTGTTTATTCTCCGCATAATTTTTGTATTTGATTCTGCCTCTGTTTTAGAGTATTTTGTCTTAGTATATTCTGGTACTGTTCATTCATCTGATACTGTTATTTACTTTATTTAATCGTTTATTGTTATTTATTTTATTTAAACATCTATAAATATTCTCCTTGTAATACAAATTAAGTACCATTCTTTTTAAATATCTTTAGCCAACACATATTGTAATAAGTTATATTTATAGTTATATACTAAATAACACTGTAATGCATATAATATGCTTTTGCATGGTGTATGCACACTTCTAAAAAATATACGCCTCTTCTGTAGGGTTACTACAGCAGAGAAAAAAAAAAAAAAAAAAAAAAAAAAAAAAATATATATATATATATATATATATATATATTCACTTAGTGTCATTAGGTTCCCGAATTTCCAACAACAGTTAAACACTCTCAAAACGTCTATATCCAGTGGCGGGGATTTGTTTTAATATTCACGAGTGTAAATAACCTAGTTCCCCGACTAAAGCGGAAGGCTATTCACAATTAAACTTTTAACATGTTATTTACACACATCTGCCATACCCTGTGACAATAAGCAGATGTTTATTGATAGAACTGACATGTCTGGTATCAAAAGGTCAGTACCCATCGGCAACTATTCCTAACTAGAAATAACAAAATAATCCAGGAGATCTCTTAACCATCTCATTTTCCTAAGTTTGCTGGTATGTTCGTGAAGTTTGTCATGAAATTTTTTTAATGAAATCCGAATGTTATCTTATACCATGGGTATGTGTAAGTCTGTATGTAATGTTTTGTTACTGACATACCAGGGTGAATGCGTGATGAGTCTTAAATTTTTTGATTGAAAAATCTATATTTTATTAATTTGAATCTTTTTAGCGACGAGGAGTATTCTTGAATCTTTTTAGCTTTCTTGTTGATTTATGATGCGTAATTTCATATGGAGTGTAGTAAGTACGTGTGAGCGTTTAGTTTTTGTTATATTTCATAATTTATTAGTTATATATATGTTTATAGTTATAAATAAAAAAAACAAAAAAAAAACGTAAGATGTGATTGGAAATTTTCGATTCTGAACACCAACACATTTTTAATCTTACTCAAAAATCATCAACGCCACACTCAATCGCCTGGTTTTCTTTATAATTATTTAATTAGCAGTACCCATTTAATAGTGGCTAGGTGTGCCTTAGTATAGGCTCTCGACTCTGAGCTCGATCAACGGACGATGCAACAGAATATACAATTACCTACCACAGGCGGACTCGAACCCAGGACCCAGAGCATAGGAGTGTAGGGCCTTACTGAAATACCTCGCTTTTCTTTGCTCCCCAAATTCGGTAAAAGCTCTAATCCGTAAAGGCTAGTGTTGCCCAAATGCGAGAACGAGACTAGTCTTGGTCTTGCAAACTCAGTCTTGGTCATCGTCTTGGTCTTGCGCAAGAGTCTCGCAACAGTCTTGCAGTTACTTATTAGCTTACTACTATAGAGATATTACTGTAATTATTTAGATAGGAGAAACCTAACTAAGCACGAATGACATAGTATAGATAGTGACTAATATTGCCAAGTATTAGTAACTATTTTGCCTTAATTTTTATTCAAAAAATCGATTTTTATTGTCAGTTCTGGTCTTAGTCTTGCAACAGTTAACGGCTCTCTGGCTCTGAATTTATTCCAAGAAAAACAATTTAACGGTGATTTCATTCCATTAATATTTACGACAGAGTTTTAACTAACTCTTAAAATGCCTTATTAGAGCGAATTTTTATCAAACACTTATTCTTGAATAAAAAATTATTGACACTTCATTTGGAACAGTAAATAAATACCGTTTGAGATAAACAAGAGGATTAATAAGAGGTCATTAAAAAAACATGTTTACAAATTAATTAAAAAAGAAAACATGCTTTAATCCATTTTCATAATAATTTAAGATAAGTTTTGAACTAGAAACATCTTTGTAAATATTTCAAACCTTATCATTAACGCTATTAAATCGCTACTATAGAGGCACGATTTTATTAATATAATGCAATCAATGGAAATGTTTCTAAACTCATCGTATTGATTGTTAGTGAATCATGCTGAATTTAGGGACGACTTGCTGCATTCAAGAAATGTTTGACACTTCTCGAATGAAAGTGAACATTTCAAAACTGAAAACTAGAACTATTAGACCACATAGTACTACAATTTGATTCCACATTTGAGCAAGTAACCGACTTTATATATTTAGGTTCAATCCTGACCCAGAACCATAGGCAAAGACCACGGAAGATAGAGGGGGAGGGAAGCGAGGGAGGCGATCGTCCCTCCATTAAAAGAGATGAGAATTACGTTTCATCCGCCTATTAATTTGAAATAAAAAATTAAAATTATTAAAAAATAAGATACATGAATAAATAAAATATCTAAACTAAAATCGATTAACAATATTCGTATAGCTGGCTAAGTCAAGTACGTAAGTTAAGTACGTTCGTAACTATTTTATCACGACCTAAATATTCCTATTATTTAAATTTTCATTTATATTCAGGAATGCTTATATAAAAAAGTTTCCTAGGATTTAATGATTCATTCTCTTCTCATGTGTACACCTCCATTTCCACGTGATTTTCTTATTAAGTTTCAACGATAAATTTGGAAAAAATATAGTTAATAAGTATAAGTATAAATATATTTTATAGAGACATTTTTACATAAATAGTTAGACTGTGAAAACATTGCATTTTTATTTTAACCTTGTGCCAACTAATAAATCAAAAATATTTTTTCAGTTTTTTAACATTATTCATTTTTAGCTGGAAACGTTATCGGAATGTATATAAGTTATGAATGCTGCCCCTCCTTTCCCCGTTCCATGTTTAATGTATATAAATTGTAATAAATCGGATTGTTTTGTTCAAATTTTTTCAAGTATATCTCTATGCACATAAACAAAATTCTACGACTTCCAAACAAATACATAAATTTATTTTTAAATATCCAATATACCTGTCCTCCAGTTTATATTAACAACAATCAAATTCCTCAAACGGACACGGTACTTTACCTTGGACTCACCTTCGACAGAAGGATGACATGGGGCCCACATGTTAAAATGAAACGTATGACACTTAACAAACGACTCAAACTACTTTACTCTCTTTTTGCCAAATCTTCAAAACTAAAACTAAAACAGAAACTGAATACATATACATACTTACTTAAGCCCATATGGACATACTCATCACAAATATACGGCATCGCTAAAAAGACCCACCTACAAAAACTTCAAACGTTCCAATCAAAATTATTGCGACTCATAACAAAAGCACCTTGGTACGTGACTAACAAAACTCTACATACTGACCTCCACTTTCCAACAGTTGACCAACATATAACGACCCTATATCAACGATTTTACACAAATTTAAATGGACATAATAACAGACTTATAAGACCTCAGAACATGAGCAGGAGACTAAAAAGGCGTTGGATGAGGGATCTCCTTCCTTAGACAACCTAAGTAATTGGAACAAGTTAGGGAAGAGGTACTGCTGAGTACTTTCCTTCCCCATACCTTTCATGCTATTATATCATGTATTGCCATCACATTTGCTGATTGTCAACTTATTGTTGACAGGCGCAAATACATATTTTATAGACAAAGAAAATAAAATATTCAATATATCATATTGAATTTTTACATATAATAAGAACTACTACCATTTTTTTTTTGTCTCCCCCCTCGAAACAGAAAGTCTC